AGACAACTTAGAAGGTCAGTAGGAAAGTTCTGTCTGACCACGTTGAGAGAGGAGCTTGGTTTGGCCCCAGGGTGGCGGCTGCTTCCAGAGTTCTTGGCCCACAAATAGAGTGGAAATAGAGTGGCTGATCAGAGGTGGATTGCAGGGATCTCTTTGCTGGTGCTGAGGCAGGATCCTCTTGCTTTGCCTGTGCTTGGATCTGGGTCACAGTTTTGGGTGCTGGTCCTGGGGCAAGGAGGAGTACTGGCTTGGTAGAGCTTGTGGTGGCAGTGCAGAGAAAACCCTACTTACAGTTTCAAGGCAGAAAAGAGTGCTTGTGGTCACTCATAGACCACAGCGCAGGCCAGGAAAGGAGTAAACATCTTGCCCTTGATCATACCACCTTGGAAGAACTGAAAATTTTCAGGTCCCTAGAAGCATCTCTGAAAACAGTGGCACAAAACCCCTGAAGCTTGGGACATTACATTCACCACACTGGAAGAAGACCCCTACCTTAACAAAAAGTCAGACCATAGAATCTTACTTCGGTGTCAAAGAAGATCAAAACATACAACCAGAAGAAGACAACAAAGCCAAAGCTACTACATCCAAAGCCTCCAAGAAAAATGTGAATTGGTCCCAGGCCATGGAAGAGCTCAAAAAGTATTTTGAGAAGCAAGTAAGAGAAGTAGAGGGAAAACTGGGAAGAGAAATGAGAGTGATACGAGAAAACCATGAAAAACAAGTCAACAGCTTGTTAAAGGAGACCCAAAAAATACTGAAGAAAATAACACCTTAAAAAATAGACTAACCCAAATGGCAAAAGAGGTCCAAAAAGCCAATGAGGAGAAGAATGCCTTAAAAAGCAGAATTGGCCAAATGGAAAAAGAAGTCCAAAAGCTCACTGAAGAAAATACTTTCTTAAAAATTAGAATGGAACAAATGGAAACTAATGACTTCATGAGAAATCAAGACAGTGTAAAACAAAACCAAAAGAATGAAAAAATAGAAGATAATGTGAAATATCTCGATGGAAAAACAACTGACCTGGAAAATAGATCCAGGAGACAGAATTTAAAAATTATTGGACTACCTGAAAGTCATGATCAAAAAAAGAGCCTAGGCATGACACCTTTTAAGAAATTATCAAGGAAAACTGCCCTCATATTCTAGAACCAGAGGGTAAAATAGAAATGGAAAGAATCCACTAATCATCTCCTGAAAGAGATCCCCAAAGGAAAACTCCTAGGAATAATATAGCCAAATTCCAGAGTTCCCAGGTCAAGGAGAAAATATTGCAAGCAGCTAAAAAGAAACAATTCAAGTATTGTGGAAACACAATCAGGATAACACAAGATTTAGCAGCTTCTACATTAAGGGACCAGAGGGCTTGGAATATAATATTACAGAGGGTAAAGGAGATAGGATTACAACCAAGAATCACCTACCCAGCAAAACTGAGTATAATCCTTCAGGGGGTAAAATGGAAATCCAGTTAAACAGAGGACTTTCAAGCATTCTTGATGAAAAGACCGGAGTGGAATAGAAAATTTCAGTTTCAAACACAAGACCCAAGAGAAGAATGAAAAGGTAAATAAGAAAGAGAAATCATAAGGGACTTATTAAAGTAGAACTATTTACATTCCCACATGGAAAGATGATATTTGTAAGTCATGAGATCTTTGTCACTATTAGGAAGTTTGAGGGGGAAAAATTATATGGATAGATAGATAGATAGATAGATAGATAGATAGATAGATAGAGGGCATAGGGTGAGTTGAATATGAAGGGATGATACTTAAAAAATAAAATTAAGGAGTGAGAGAGGATTATACTGGGAGAAGGAGAAAGGGAGAGGTAGAATGGGGTAAATTATCTCACATAAAAGAGATAAGAAAAAGCTTTTACAGTGAAGGGGAATTGCACAGGAAGGTGAGAGGCAATGAGTGACTCTTATTCTCATTGGATTTGGCTTAAGGAGGGAATAACATACACACTGAATTAGGTATGGAAATCTATCTCACTCTATAGGAAAATAGGGGGAAGGGAATAAGAGAGTGAGGGGATGCTAGAAGGGAGGGCATATTGGGGGAGGAGGTAATCTGAAGCAAACTTCTGAATAAGTGGGGGGTGGGATAGGATAAAGGGAAATATAGTTAGTTTTTCACAACATGACTACTATGGGAGTGTTTTGCCTGACCACATGTGTATAACCTGACTACACATTGCTTGCCTTTTCAATGAAGGTGGATAAGGAGGGAGGAAGGGAGAAATTTGGAACCCAAAGTTTTAAAAACAAATGTTAAAAATTATTTTCACACGCAACTGTGAAATAAGATATACAGGCAATGGGGTATAGAAATCTATCCTGCCCTACAGGAAAATAGAAGGGGAAGGGAATAAGAGAAGGGAGGGTGGTGATAGAAGGGAGGGCAGATTAGGGGAAGGGGTATTCAGAATGCATGCTGTCTTGGGGTGGGGGGAGGGGTGAGATGGGGAGAAAATCTGGAATTCAATCTTGTGGAAGTGAATGTTGAAAACTAAAAATAAATTAATACATATTTAGTATTTTAAAAAAAGAAAGAAAGATAATGACTTCTGTTTTGGATATATTGAGTTTAATTGTCTATCAAATATTCAGTTTGAGACTGGAAGGCAGTCAGACATGGAGACAAGATGTCAGCTGAGAGATTTGAGTAAGAAAGATAGATTTCAGAATAATCAACATAGAGTTGATAATTAAATCCATAAGAACTGATGTGATCACCAAGAAAAACTGAGGGATGTATAATATTAGAGGGCATGACCTGGAAGAGCATCTGGCAACAGAGACAGAGGAGAAGAGGTCAGAAGAGTAGAAGGAAAACCAGGAGAGAGTCGTGCCCCCAAAATGTTGTAAAGCTAAACGTATGAATCAGCAAGTTGAATTTGCTTTTTCCCAGTTAAGTAGATTACCACTCTGACCCTAATTTGGATGAGCAGGAATGGAGAAGTAAGAGTCATTGGTATTATGTCTCTCAAATCAAATTCTAGCCGCGAATTTCTATTACTTTTCTAACTTTTGTATTGTTTGAGATTCCACTGGTAGCATTGCTTCTATAAATGAATTGGACTTACTCATCCTCTTGATTTTGATTTTGGTTGGTGTTTAGCTCTGTTAGATTCCATGCTTTAAGAATAGAATCGATCTCATGGCCAAAATTTATTATTGCCCTCAATTATGGTCAGATCTGTAATCACTTTATTCAAGGTGCTCACTGCCTCTTCATTTCTGCCTTAGAAACCTTGAATCTTTAGGAGACAGCACAAGATGCAAAGGGCAACAATATAGAAATCTAAAGGGGATATGGAGCAGCTGGGATCTCAGGGACATCTCTAGCTGGGGACCTGCAACCTTTCAGTTCTCCCAAAGTAGTCTGATCCAGGACAAGGACTGATCGTTGCCCTGCAGTTTGATCACTATGAACCAGCAGATCTTCTTAGCTGGCATAAGGGCTGAGTGCAGCAGCATTCTAAGACTCTGGTCCAAATCAGGACATTGGAAAATAGATTTAGGGAAAAAAATTAAGAATCATTGGACTATCTTAACAAAATGCTCAAAGTAGAACAGTCAAGATGTCATATTTCAAGGATTCTTAAAAGAAAACTTCCCAGATTTCTCAGAACCAGAGAAAAAGTAGAAGTAGAAAAAAGCCACCAAGTTGTTTTTTGAAAGAAATCCTCAAATGAAAACAAAGAACATTATGGCTAAAACCCAGAGCTTCCAGATTAAAGGGGGAAAAAATCTATGAACAGCCACAAAGAAAGAATGTAAAAATAGAAGAGCCAAGGTCCAGATCACATTTGATTAAAAACCACTACTTTAAAGGAATTCTTCTTCTTCTTCTTCCTTCTTTTTCTTATTCTTCTTCAACTACTACTACTACTACTACTACTACTACTACTACTACTACTACTACTACTACTACTACTACTACTACTACTACTACTACACTACTACTACTACTACTACTACTACTACTACTACTACTGCTGCTACTACTGCTACTACTACTACTACTACTACTACTACTACTACCGCTATGTAATTCTGGAGTCTGTGAACACTAACATTACTCACTTGCTCCTTTCCCCACCAGGAGGTGGGATGGTAGAGATGTGTGCATTTATGATCTGGAAGGCAAAGCACATAGGTTTACAATCCCCTGAAGAGAAGAATGAAAAGAGAAGAAAAGAGGAATTCACTAAAGGAGGAGGGCGAAAGGAAGTTTAGGAAAAGTTACCTCACATAATCAAGAGGGATGAGTCCTAAGCAAAACAGACTCTAACTAGGGATGTACAAAAGATATCTATAGATCTTTTTGAGGTGGAAAAGAGTGTGCATCTGAGGGGGAGCCATAAGTTGGGGAATGCCTGTACACTTTATGTCATACATAAATATGATGGAATACTATCGTGCTGTAAGAAATGATGGAGGGAATGATTTTAGACAAACCTGGGAAGACTTTATAAGAACTGATGCAGAATGAAATAAATAGGTCCAGGAGAATAATTCATACAATGACAACAAAATATAAAGACAGACAACTTTGAAAGAATTAGGAATTCTGAAGAAATGACCAATCATGATACCAGAAGAATAATGCTGAAATATGCTATCCACCTCCTGTAGACAGTGTTCATTCAGTATAGAATTATAAGTGTGTGTGTGTACATGTATATATACATACACACAGATACACAAATGCATGTGTATATACATACCTATGTGCATACATACATATAGATATTGGAAATGACCAATGTGGACATTTGTTTTGCTTGACTATACATGTTTTTAATGGGCTTTGTAATAGCTTTTATTTTTCTTTCCTTCTTAATTTGGGGTGGGGGTTGGAGTGGTAGAGAGAGAAAATAGATTTTTTTCTGATTGAAAAAATTAAAAAAAAAGAAATATAGAAAATGATTGAGTTTAAATGCATATACAAATCTACCAAATGAGTATAAAAATAATATCTTACCCTTAATCATGACTTCAATTTCACCCCTGAGAAGTAAATGACTCCCTAGTTTTGCCAGGTATCCTAAAAAAAATCAAAATAAAAAGGTATCACTCAAAACATAGAAGTTTCTCCAATATGATTGCCTAAGGCTGAGCTTTTAGCAAGACCAAGTACTTCTAATCAGCCATTTGTTACGAGCCAACTACATGTTAGGCACTAAGCTAAACACTAGAGATACAAAGAAAAACAAAAGACAGTCCCTGTCCTTGAGGAGCCCACAATCTATTAAGAGATATAATATGCAAACAACAATGTACACACAAGATTATGTATATATATATATATATATATATATACATATATATATACATATATATATGTATACATATGTATATACATATATAATACATATACACACACATATATGTATATATATGACAAATAGAAAATAATTGACAGAGAGAAGGCACTAGAATTACGTGGTATTGGGAAAAGGAAATTGGGAAAACTTCCTATAGAAGTTGCAATTTAACTGGCAATGAAGGAAGTCAGGGAAGTTAGGAGGTAGAGATTAGGAAGAAAAGTATAGCATGTGTAAGGGATAGCCAGTGAAAATGCTAAGATTTGAGAGACAGTGTCTTGTTAGAGGAAAAACAAGGAGGACAGTGTCTCTGGAGTAAAGGGAATGTGGGGGGAAGGTAGAGTACAAGGAGCAGGAAGACTAGAAAGGTAGATGAGAGGAAGGATTCATTTATTGACTTTGAACACCCAACAGAAGATTTTGTATTGATCCTGGAGGTGATAGGGGAGAGGAGATAGAGTTTAGTGAGTGAGGGAAGGCTAACATAGTCAGACCTGAGCTTTAGGAAGATCGCTTTGGTGACTGACTGGAGGCTGAACTAGAACGTGGAGAGAATTAGAACAGGTAGGCCAACCAAAGGTTATTGCAGTAGTCCAGATATGAGAAGATAAGGATCAATGTCAGGGTCATAGGAATATCAGAGGAGAGAAGAGGATGGATTTGGGAGATGTTACAAAGGTAAAATCAAAATTGTCATCCAACTTGGATGTATGAAGGGTGAGAAAGAACGAGGATGACATGGAGAGTATGTTTACAGGTCTGGGATGATACTGGTGTTCTTAACAATAATATGGAATTTTAGAAGAAGAGAGAGTTTGTAAGGAAAGAATTATGAATTCACTTTTGGACACGTTGAGTTTAAGACATCCAGCAGACTGGATGTGAAGGTTGAGAGAGAGTGAGAATGACACCTACTATGTGAGTTTGGGGGTTTGGAAGGATGGTGGCGTTCTTAACAATAATATGAAATTTTGGAAGAGGAGAGAGTTTGTAACAAAAGATTCTGAGTTCACTTTTGGATACATTGAATTTAAGATATCTTAGGTCATCCAGTTCTAGATATCTAATAGGCACATTGAGTCTAGAGATCAGCAGAGAGATTAAGTCTGGAAAGTAGATTTGAGAATCATTAGCATAGAGATGTTAATTAAATACTCGGGAGCTGATGAGATCATCAAGTAAAATAAAGGGAGAAGAGGAGAGGGCCCAGGATATCTTGTGGGACACCCATAGTCAGTGGACATTATCTGTATGAAGATGCAGCAAAGCAGACAGTGAAGGGCAGTCAGATAGGTAGAAGGAGAATCATGAAAAAGTAGTGTCCCAAAAACCTGGAGAGAAGAAACTATCAAGAAGAGGGTGACCAACAGCATGAAAGGCTGCAGAAAGGTCCAAGAAGACTGAGGATTGAGAAAAGGCCATTGGGAAATTAAGAGATCATTGATGGCTTTGGAGACAGCAGTTGTTTTTTTATATTATTGAACTTTATGTACAAAATCATTTGATTTCAGATAAACATTTAATGTAAAAACAAAGGTCCATTTCAACAAGTGAACTTTTTTCCCCATTTTTTTAAACACATCTACTGTACCATTCAAATGCTTGACCAGCTTACATGATTTCTTCAAAATCTCTTATCAAGGGTACATATAGAAAAGGCATATTTTTATAAATAGAAACAAAGGGATTTTTCAGCTTTTATTATATGATGACATAAAAAGTTTACTCAACAGAAGTAATTTCATTACTATTTCTTGGGGGGATCACCAACTTTTGTGCAAACAATGCTAGCCTTCTTTTAAGCATTAAGAGCAAAGCTGCTTAAGAAATGACATAAAGCAATAATTCTAGACCTACATCTCCCCTAAAATAATCCTTTTTTTCATATGTGCACAGCTGTAGCAAATTAAAGCCAGAGAGAATGCTTGAGATCCACTACCCGGAGGCACAATTTGAGTTATGAGAACTCCTCACTGGAGAGCGGACAACTCAAGGAGTCTGTAATGAAAGCTGCAGTTTCCCTCTTTCCTATTTTTACACAAAAATCAGTGACTAAGAACTTAATGCTGGGTGATAAATCACATCCACACCATTAGTTAAATAGTCTCAGTTAAACACATCTTAAAGACGAATCAAATCAGTATTTACATTTTATAAATTTCTGAAGACACCATTAGAAAGCTTATATATCCCTTCACTAAACAAAATAAGGAACTGCATCTGATGGTGGAAGAATGAAATAAAAAACTTCAAAATATTTGTATTTACAGTAGTATTGTTTCTTTATAAAGAATATGAAAATACAATATCTTAAGGATAATAAAAAATTGAGATGATGTCTCTCCACCACAATGCTTGGAGTTGGAATAAAAACTCATTGGTACTGACATTGTGCCAGTAGTGAAACGACTTCCCACTAGAGAAAATTCAACTGTAAATATGTGCAACTAAAAGGTGAAAGAGCTCAGGACTGTTCAGATGAACTTGTATGGCATGAAAGTCCTGCTGGGGTAGCACACTCACGTGTAGAACAGCTTCTCTGTCCAAGCTCAAAGGGAGTTCCTCCCCTTTTTCAAATTAGCATCTGAAAATTCTTCACTCAGCGTGCTATGTATGATACAAAGCTAATGAAAAGATGTGGATGCCAGAATTTTCAATGTGTAGTTACTTAATTTTAAAAGAAAAATAGCAAAACATTCAAGTTTAAAAGATTACACTGGCTGAGCAACACATCAAAATTATGCACGTAAAAACACACTGCCAGAAACAAAACCAAACTCTGCTTGGTAGCTTGTGTTATCAAAGGTGAAAAGTCCATAATCTTCCCAAACAGGCACAAGTCAAAGAAGTGCTAGCTTATCTTTTGGAATCTGTTTCATGTACAACTATGTCCAAATTTGTGATTCTTCGTTCAAAATTGATAAATGATTTCAAGAAGCAAGGATCAAGGTCGGACTGAAAATAGTAATGTGCATAATTTTGCCAAAATTTAATTGGAGGTCTAAATTGCTTAAAAAGTGAATTATATTCTAATTCCCACCCCAATGTCTCACAGTTACAAAGTAGGAAAACAAGTCACAAATGCAAAAACTTATAATTTATATACATATATAAGTTTTTATATTATCAATTCAATAGATTTCATAAGACATTAATCGCTCAAGTTACAAAAAAAGTTTTTTATGAAGTATTGCTATTCCTGCTCAAACGGAAGAATATTGCAGTGACATCACTACAACTGATCTGCATGTATTACTTGCATAATGAAGCCAAGTGAGCCTTGATACAATGTCTTTGTTGAAATCATTTACTTCATCTAACAGGGCCTGGTTGGAACCTAAGATTTGCAAAATAAAAGAGAAGGTCTTCCAAGAGAATGTATTCCCTAGAATGTTTTTCAGTGTTTGTCCATTACATGAGATTAGCACTGTCTTTCAGAGTTTTTGTTTCTTACTCTGTTTTGAAACCCCTGAGACTGTATCGGTGTCTGAAATCCTCTCCTTTGGGTGTATGTCACTATATCCATTGGATGTCCCACTTAGCTCTTCAGTCAACTTTTCATTGGCAGGGAGAGCAGCTTCTCCTTTGTCTAATTTCTGCTGCATTTCATGGAGCTTCATAACTGCTTTGTCTATTGACATTATGCTAATGAGATTAAAGTCATACATGCTGACCAAGTGAAGCATGAAGTTTTGACAGAGATTCTTCTTAATGATTTTCTGTCCATAATTCTCTACAAACAGCATACAGGCATGATTCATTTGATTGTCAGCAATAAACCCATGCTTCATGACACGTAGATTCCATAATTTCATCACTTCTTTCTCTCTTTCATCAACATCAGAAAATAATGGTTTTTTCTCTTAGCCATTTGGGATCCTTTTCATCTTCACTATTTACTTCCATTTCTTGGGAATGGAGTGATAAATAAGTGTCGCTGTGGAAATAGAGCTGATTGTGGCCACTGATGTATGTTCCCTGCTGCTGAAAGAGCAGTTTTTGTACAGTGATGAGATCAGAGGCCAGACTACAGAGTTAAGAAAAGAGTGAGAGAAGAGAAAGTAGAGCTAGCTCTTGTAAACAGCCTTTTAAAGGAATTTATAACCACAAAAGGCAGGAGAGATGAGAGTTAGCAGGGATGATTGAATCAAGTGAAGGTTTCTCAGGATGGGGTAGATGGTGGTGGAATGTTTGAAGGCAAACGGGAAGTAACCTACTGGGAGAGTGAAGGTGAGAGATAGGATGGAACGGGACCACTTAAGAATGTAGTGGGGTTGGCCTCGGTAAGGAGAAGGGCCAACTCATCATGTGAGACAGAAATAGAGGAGGAGATATTGACAGAAGACATCTGTGTGATGTGAGATAAAGAAGAGGGGGGAAGAGGGAGGCCTCAATGAATTGCCTCATTTGATTTTTAGTAAAATATGAAGTACAGTTCTCAGCTGTGAGGGTGGGTGAAGAGGGAACCATGGGAGGTTGAGAAGAGATGAAGAAGTCTAGAAGATCTTCTGTGGTAAGTAGCATAGTATGTTAATTAGGGAAGTCTAAAAGGATCTAGAAGCAATGAGAGGCAAGTTGAGTTTAGGAAGATAAGAGAGAGGAAGGAAGGAAGGAAGGAAGGAAGGAAGGAAGGAAGGAAGGAAGGAAGGAAGGAAGAAAAGAAAGAAGCACCCCAGAGACATCTTGGTTTGGGCTATGATAGAGTTCAGGACGCCCATGGGACACCAAAGTGTCAATGTTGCAGCAGTGTTCCTCTGATAGGCAATGAGAGATAAAACTTGGGAGCTCAGAACTGCTTCTTTCTTTCTTTTGTGTAGAAATAACCACTGAAGCCATGGGAGGAAATGAGATTATCCAAAGAAGGAGGCCAGAAAGAAGATCATATGGTAGTAGATTTAGAATCAGAAGATACCTTAGAGGCAATCTTGTTAAATGCCTCCATTTTTACAGACAAGGAACTTAACCCTGCAGAGGTTGTTACTTTTCCAAGTGACACAGGATTCGAAGGGGCAGAGCTAGAGTTTCAACCCAGGTCCTCTCACTCCAAATCCTATACTCTTACTATAATAGAAAACAGAAGCTTGCTGATTACTTACCTCAGGACTTTAGGAAAAGAGTGAGGTGCCCCAAACATTCTGCAAACAACTAGCTCCTTAAGAAAAAGCCCCCGAAGGCTAAACCGGTTGCAACCCACTGGGGTCAAGGATGGGGCAAAGGTTTTTCTCCACTGTGCTTGCTTAATAAGCATGAACTAACATGACATGGAGGAACAAGGGATGGGCAGTTCAGGAAGAGTGTAACTCAGATGAACTGATCCAATCCTGTGCTCAGATAGGTGGAGTATGGATCTTACTAACCATTTAAAAGTTGATTCTACCACTGTACCATCTTCTCCATGCTACTAGAGTGTGGTGTGCTGGCTTCTTACCAGAAGTGTAATAAAGGCTTTACTTCACTCAAAAAAAAAAAAAAGGAAGAGAGTGAGGAACCATCAAAGAGAAAAAGAAAGAATAATTAGAAAGGTAGGAGAACGGGGATACTGTGGCATTTCAGAAGCCAAGAGCTTCTGGATAGGAAAGATAGTACATGATAAAGCCCAACAGATGTCACTCCCAAATAGTCTTTTGTACCTTTTTGGCCAGTTTTAAAGAGATAGAGATGATGGGAAACGAAGGTTGACACCTTGGGTAGTTTTCAGTTTTTTTACCTACTAAAATGATTGCTGCTTTCCTTAGATAAGCCCTAGAGCTCTTTAAAAATTCTAAGGTCGTATAAATAGTCTCTGAAATGTATTTTCCATAATTGTTGAACTAGAAAGAAAAAGAGAAAAAAACAACCTCAGACAAAGAGAAAAAAACCTCCCCCATCTCTCTTTTCAAGTAGTTTTTAGATAAAATCTTCATATGTAAGAATACTTAATTTGAGATTAATGTTCAAGTCCCATTCTCTTACTTATGGCTATATGATCCTTAACATTCATAACCTCTCTGGACCACTGTTCCTTAAGTGGAAATAAGGTGGAATAATAACATTTATTCTACCTAATTCAAAGGACTGTTGCAAGGAGCAAATGAAATAATGCATGAAAAGTACTTTGAAACTACAAAAAAATTTTGTTTGAACAATTATTATTATACAATAATAGTAATTAATAGTAATAATAGAAGCTAACATCTGTTTCGGGTTTATCTCCTTTGATCCTTACCACCATCCTGTAATGTAGGTGGTACTATTATCATCCCTATTTTTCTTTGATAGAGGTTTAGTGACTTGCCCAGGATTTCAGGGTTAATAAGTATCTGAGACTGGATTTGAATCTGAGATTTCTCACTTTCGAGGTCAGGATTCCATCCATTATACTGAACATAAAATATAGAAACTAGGGAACAGTCTGAAAACAAGAGTTTTTTTCAGACATGAACTTTATTCTGCTTTCCTTCACACTTGATGCCCTAGGTCAACCTCTGTGTTGCAGTTTTAAAAGTTTATCATTGGGGCAGCTAGGTGGCACAGTGGGTAGAGCACTGGCCCTGAAGTCAGGAAGACCTGAGTTCGAATATGACCTCAGACCAAACACTTGACATTTACTAGCTGTGTGACCCTGGGCAAGTCACTTAACCCCAATTGCCAAAAAAAAAAAAGTCCATCATTCAACTTTCTTCCCTCAAAACCTTTTCTCCTCGCACCCTCAATATCCCTTTTCCCTTATTCCACCCTCAAGGGATTTTGGGTCTTTCCATTTATTGCTTCCCTACATCAGAGCTAGTATTAGATCTTGCCTTGTTCTTCTATTCTCTAGCCAAAACCCCAAACAGGGAGCTTATAGATGGGGTATAAAGATTTCATGCTAGTAGAGAAAAGGTAAGGAGAGATCTACTAGATTTTCCTTTCAGAAGCTTGGCTGTGGTCACCCATCAACATCCTGTAGTTTCCTTCTCAAAGGTCTACCTTCCCTTCCATTTCCATACATTCCATCTCTCAGCCAAGCCTCCAGATTTAGTCTAATGCCCCTGTGCCAGTAAAAACCCAAAGAGTAACTTACGAGGCAATTGCAGATGCTGAGCACAACTATCTCATAATTGTAAACTTCATCTTGGAGCAAAGGTAAAGACTTCCACTTAAAAAGTGGAGCACAGATGTTTAATGTATATTTACATGCCTGTGAGGCAGAGGGGGAAAAGAGAGTGAGATATTCCATTTGGTGCACACAGTTTTCATATAACTGCATTCCCATCCCCATCATCTTGTTGCTCCACTCACTTAATAAACTTTTGAGAGAGCTCTCTCTCCTAAAAGAACCAACCAAAAGTGCTCTTTAGGATCCTCTAGTCTTTTTGAGAATTCTTGATGCTGGCTGGGCATTGTGCTACACACCTGTAATTCCTGCTCTTGAGCTCAGGAGTGCTCAGCTACAATGTGCTAAGCCAATTGGTTGTCCACAGCTAAGTGCAGCACCAAAATAGTGAATCCCAGGAGCAGGGAGGATTATGAGGCACCATGGTCACGAGTTTGCCTAAGAGGGGGCTAAATTGCCCAGATGGGAAAAACAGAGCAGGTCAAAGCTCCTGTGTCAATTACTAGTAGGATCAAGTCTGTGAATGGTTACTATACTTGTAGCCTGGGTGAGATTGGGAGACCTAATCTCAAAAAAATAAACAAATAAAAGAATTCTTGTAACCATTTCTGCATCATTGTGTTAGCTTTTATGAGCTGTTAGTTGCCTAGTAATGAAAGCCTCGCTGGCGAAACAGGGACAAGATTTTTAAAACTTCTCTATATTTCAGTCCTTCCAGCTAGAGGGAGCTAGGGAGAACATTTCACAAGCAAGGTGGTTCCCATAAAGACCCTAGATTTCCAGTGCCAGGGAAACATCATGGAGAGATGGACTTACTTTAACTACTTTGATCTCTTTATCTTCCAAGAACAGGATCAAAGGCACCAAGGCTTTGATGATAGCAGGCTGTAACATCCAAGTATTGATTCATTTCCTTGAGTAATTCACCAAAATGTCTAAAGGCCATTGCTCGAATGCTTGGGATGTCCTGTGAAGTACAAAGATTTCACTTCTTGCCCTTAAGCTAGGCTGACTTGAAAATCCAGATTTACAAAGCAGGAAGATCATGGAGCCAACTACTTGCTTTATGAAAGGATTCTCTTTATATATCCTTAATTCTGAGGTTCTTTTTAGTTGTTACACTTTTTTTCAAAGAGTATATGTTATCATCCCAGCAGTTCAACTTAGGACAAATTCAAACACTTGAGAAAGGGTTCTTCACCTTTTAGTGTGACTTGGACCCATTTGGCATTTGGCAATAAGTCAGTTTAAGCCTATGAGACTCCTACTCAGAATAACATTTTTAAATGCATATAATATGTAGGATTGCAAAGGAAACCAGTTATGTGGAATTGTAGTTATGAAAATATTTTTTACAAAGTTTATGGGACCCCAAGTTATAGAACCCTAACCACACTTTTATTTAGCACTTTCAATTTGCATTTAAAAGAACAGTTATTCACACTTATGTGATGCCTTAAGGTTTGCTGAGCACCTTCTGATAACAATCCAGTGAGATAGGTAGTATAAGTATTATTATCTTCAATTTATTCTGAGAGGTTAAGTAATTTGTCCAGTGTCACATAGTTAATAAGTATCTGAAGAAGGATGTGAACCCAGGTATAGTGACTCCATAACCAGCAATCTTTTCACTATGATGTGCTGCCTCTCAACATGATTTGATTTACTTTTTTTTTCTTTGCTTTGCTTTTTTTTTTTTTGGTGAGACAATCAGGGTTAAGTGACTTACCCAGGGTCACATAGCTAGTAAGTGTTAAGTGTCTGAGGCTGGATTTGAACTCAAGTCCTCCTGACTTTAAGGCTAGAGCTCTATCTTCTGCACTACCTAACTGTCCTACTTTTTTTTTCAAAAAAATTTTAGTGATGCCTTTTGTCTTTGCATAAGATTCATTTTCAGAAACACTTTCCTCCCATTTGAACCTTCCCTTGTGATAGAAAAAATACAATTATGCACAGACTGTCTAAAAATATATACACTATTCATAAGGTCATAGATTTACAATCAGAAGGGACCTTGAAGTTCAACTTATCCTAAAGCCCTCATTTTATGGGTGCAGAAACTGAGGCCCAAGAAGGTTTAAAGATTTGCCCCAAATCTCATAGGCTTTAGGTAGCAGTACCAGGAACTGGAGTCAAGGACCTCTTGCTCTAAAGCTAGGAATCTTCCCACAATATCATGCTGCCCTTCATCCTGCATTGGTCAGCTCCTACCTACTCTTCTCCCCAACCCCTACCCCTACACATTTCTTGACCATGAGGAAGGAGTTATGTTTCTTTGTTTCCTGGGATCTTTATTAGTTTTTCAAATTATCAATCAATCAGTAAAGATTTATTAAGCACCTACCATGTGCCATGCACTGTGCTAAGCACTGTGGATACAAAAAAAAAAGCAATTATAGTTCATAAAAATTCAGTCTACATGTAACATTTTTTTCCTGCAACATAACAAGTGTATAAAATATGGGCACACTTTTTCAATCAAAGGGTAGGCAGCATTTCTGGAAAATCCTAGAAACCCAGGAAAATGTCACCTGGATGAACTATGGCTAAGTTGACTTCTATAGATAAAGCCGCTTATACAAAAGTATTAGTCCTGAAAGTCTGAATCATGGAATTATAACCAAATTCTAGGATTCCTCACTCCTTTTTGGAACACTCCCTCTTGGCATTTGGCAACAAGTCCTAATATGTGTTATTGTGCATTGTAGTAAGGGACATAATATTCTAAGAAATACTTGTACCTGACAAAGTAATGATGAAGAATAGGGATTCCAGAAAAGTAAAAGTAAAATTGCGAGACACATTTTAGTTTTTCATAGTACTACCTTCCACCTCATACATTAATCTGATATAACTGAAGATCCCTGGACATGGACTCAGAAGACCTGGGTTCAAATCCTAACTTTTACACTACCTATAGGGCCTGGATCAAGTTGCTTAAACTCTTGGAGTCTCTGTTTTTTCATCTACAGAACTCGGATAACATTTACCTGGGGTGAGAGTGAAGTGGAATTGTGAAAATCACATAAGATGAATGAATGAATCATTTATTAAGTACTTACTATATATAAATCAAGGTGCTAAGCACTGGGGATACAAGTAGAAAAGTAAGACAGGCCCTCCTCTCAAGGTGCTCACATTCTAATGGGGGAGACAATACATGTGGAAGGTTTCAACTGCAAATCAGATGGAAAAATTCCATGGTACTTAGGGTGCTGTGGCAAAGCAGATGTTAATGACTTTTCTTTCTTGTCGTTATTTAATATCTATTCCCAGAGCTCTTTGGTTCAAGGCACTGGGCTGTACCCATCAAAGTCAGATGGAAGATGGTGGGTTAGGAAGTGGCAGCATTGATTTGCCTTGCCCTACCACAAGCTGACCGCTGTCTGTCCTTCAGGGTGCCTTGCTGCTTCACCCAGCTTGACTCACTTACATGTGGCATTTAGTTGAGTTGTTCCAAAATGAAATCAACAGGTCTTGGAAACAGCTTGGATATTGGGGCAGGGGGTGGGAAATAGTAAGGAGTCCAGGATGACTCCTAGATAGTAAGTCTCAGGGACTGGGAGGATGGCTTTGTCTTCTACAGTTATAGGGAAGGTTGAAGTGCAGAGAAGGTTTAGAGAGAAAGATGAGCTCTGTTTTGAACATATTGAGTTAAAGATGTCTACTGGACATCCAGTCTGAGATGTCTGAAAGGTAGGTGGAGATATGCAATTAGAGGTCAGAAGAGAGATTGGGGGAGGGCAGATAGATTTGAGAATCATCAGCATGGAGATGGTAATTAAATCCATGGAAGCTGATGAGATCACCAAGTGAAGTAGCATAAAGGGAGAAAAGAAGAAAGTCCAGGACATACCCCTGAGGGACACCCCTGGTTAGAGATTGTGAACCCAAGGGGTATCCAAAAAAGGAGATAAAGAATGGTCAGACAGGTAGGAGGAAAAATCAAGATAGAGTGGTTTCACAACAACCCTGCAAGCTATTATTATGCCCATTTTGCAATGAGGAAACTGAGGAAGTAAAAAGTTAAGTGACTTTCCTAGGGTTACATAGCCAGCAAGTATATGAGGCTAGATTTGGACTAAGTTCTTTCTGACTCCAGGTCTGATGCTCTATTCAGTGTTCTACAGATATGTATCGATGTCTCTGAGGGGAGTGACTATATTCATAGAGCACTTACTATGGCTTTCCAAACGTTGATGATCTCATTTTAGCATTTTACACAACTAGACATGCCTTAATAATGCTTATCACACCTCTCATTTCTGAAAATTGTTTTTGTCACCCTGGTTGTATTATAATCTTCCTAAAGCATGACTTGCAAATTTCAACTTGCAAAACAGTTAAATTAGGAAGTGATTTATTTTTCATTTTAATGGAAAAGAATTCTCTGCTTTACTGAAGAATTCTGTAGATGATTCTTTCAAGCAGCAAGGACCTCTTGGGCTTTGAGGGGAGGATACCATTTATTAAAAATTCTGTGCCATGTCAAGCTTTCATCAGAGAGTACTGCATGAAATGAATCAGTCAAAATGCAAAATCCTATGGGGGGTGGTGGTGGTGGTGGTGGACAGCTCTGTACAATGGAAAGAACACTGGGTCCAGAGTCAAATGACCTGGATTCCAGCATGAGGCAGCTATAGGATTTTAGGTTGACTCCTTATAGGTCCCAGTTTCCCTATCTATAAAATGGGTGGAAAGGACCACCAGATAATGCCTAAGGTCTCTTCCATCTCTATAATTCTAGATGTCAGCATTACCCTTTCCCTAAAATAAAAAAAAAAGTAGAATGGTTAGCTTGTTAATTTTATTTCTTAGAGGGAGAGAAGGCATCATTCTCTATCTTCCCACTGTCTTCAATTCCCTTTCCTATGTTTGGGTTGCTTCATTCAAAGATAGGTATTTTACTGAATAATGCTCTGAAGTCTCTGGGCTAGAGCATTGCCTAGAAAGATTTTGGAATGCAGTGCTGTCAGGCTGTATGGGACAGTCCCTGGGCTATAGCCCTCCTCCCTCAGCTACCAACTAATTCATCCCATGTTAGACGCCTCACTCACATGGTCCATGAGGGGGTAGTAGCTGGAAGCAATTAGGACACACAGGGAGGAGTATGTTACTTTGTCCATCCCAGACAGAAGACTTCGGAGGGTATTCATGGCCTGTATTATGATAGTTTTGTCTTTGGAGGAGAAGGAATCCACTATACAAAATATTAACTCTTTGACGTTCGATACCTGCATAAGAGAACCAGTAGATAAGACATTGCTTTATCCCACTGGGAGACAGAGAGAAAATTGCTCGTTACTACTAAGCACTAGTAACCAGGGGGAAATGATAGTCATGTCAGTAGACAGGGGAATAAAGAGAGTAACTATTTCACATAGCATCTGTTGTGTGCCCGGCATTGTGTTAAGGGCTTTTTACAAACATTATCACACGTGATCATAACAATCCTGGGAGGCAGGTGATATTATTATATCCATTTTACAGCTGAAGAAACTGAGGCAAATAGAGGCTAAGTGAGCTGCCCAAGGTCACAAAACCAGTATCTGTCTGAGACAGAATATGAACTCAGGTCTTCCCAACTCCAAGTCTATCATGCTATCCACTATTCCTCCAGCAGTCTTTGGGCAGCAAGGACTTCAGAGGGTATGTGATTCATTCCCCTAGTTCCAAGCAAAACAGAATTCAAACCTGGCATGAGCATCCCCTTTGCTGGATCCTCCTCAGGGCCACTGGGGATAATATACTAGAGTAACCGTTAAATTTTTATTATACACACATACCATAGAAATTGGCCATCTCTCTAAATCAAGGATTTTCTTTATTTATCTATTTATTTATTTTGTTGGTTTTTTAGCCACAAGAACGTGTTAATAGTGCAGCTTAAACTTAAAAGTGTGTATGCATATATGCTTCCCGCCCCCCCCCGCCAGTAGTTTTATATTTGCCTGATTATTCCTGTATTGGGAAGAGAACAAGCATTTATTAAGCACCCACTATGTGCCAGGGACTAAGCTAAACACTTTACAAATACTATATCATCTGATCCTCGCAACAACACTCTGAGATAGTTGCTATTAGTGTTGAGGTTTAGGGGTGCTGAGACCCCGAAATAGTGACATGCGGGTCCTGACCAAATGAATTTGACCCATGTCTTCTTTCAGCGAAAGACAGGGCTTATTAAAGATCTGCTACGTTGGTCAGACTATTAAGGAATCTGAACATTTGAGGCTCGTATTGACAAGTGGGCTAGATTGAATCTGAGCCATTGGCCAGATGTTTAGAATCTGAGCACTTTAATGGAGGCTGAGCTGGGTCTCACGTGCAGAAAGAACGTAGGAGAGATCTATGAGTGGCCAAGTAGTCGGAGGTGACTGGGAGGTAGCAGGGAAGGACCAGGAATGCCAGGGACCTGGACAAAGTAGCCAAAGAAGACTGGGGTCTAGATAGGATCCAGGAGTGGAGGTCTAGGGTGGGGCCAGGTGCAGACAATGAAAGGGTAGTTAATTAACTGGGTAGAGTCAATAGGTCAGTTGACTGGGATAGTCAAATGCCAGAGACTTGACCACATGGGAAAATCCAAGGAGAGTTCAAAGGTGGTGGTGGTGGTGGGGTGTTTCCAGAGCCTGTACCTCCTCGTTAGTTACACTGATTTTATAGTTAAGGAAACTGAGAAAGGGGGAGTTTAAGTGACTTGTCCAGTCACAGGGACTCAGATCTTCCTGGTTCCAGTCCTAATGCTCTACCCATTGGGTCACCTAGCTGGCTGTCTATTGCTCTAATGCTTGAGCTTAGTGAAAGGACAGTACAAGGCTCCGGTGACAAAGTCATTACCAGGGTGCAGGTCTGGGGATTGCAGGCTGAAAACAATAACAATAATGAGCACTTAAATAGGCCTTTGAGGTTTGCAAAGTGACACACCCGTGACCTCATTTGGCCCTCACAGCATTCCTGCCCATGAGCCTGAACCTGCCTATATGCAAGGAGATAAGGGGAAAAAAGGTTATTCAAAAGAAAACAAATGAGAGAATACAAGAAAAAAGACAGAAAGGATAAAAGGAAGGTGACGAGAAAGAAGCTTAGAGATCCAGCTTCTTCATTTTCAGGTGAAGAAACTAAACCCAAGGAGATTAAGAGACTTACCCAAGGACTCAAACCAGATCCTCTGTCTACAAACCCAATGGTCTTTCCACTGCCACACTGCCCTATCTCAAGAGAAGGAAGAAGAGAAAAGGACGTTTATTCTCTTTCCTTTTTTTTATGTTACCGTCTAAGGAAGAGGAGCCAGCTCAAGTCAAAAGCAGAGCTACTCAAAGCATCTGAGCCTCAGCAATGGGGCCCAGAGTGGTGACCCACACTTCCAGCCTGGACTTGATAGTGAGGCCCAATCTCAAATAAATAACTAGGTAGATATGTGCAGATAGATGATAGATGCATGTAGATGGATAGATGGATGATAGATAGATTAAAAATACGTGCAGACAAATGGATGACAGATGTGTGTAGACTGATGATAGATATGTATAAACAGATATTAAAATGATAGATGAAAGATGTGTGTACATAGATGATAGATGTATATAGATAGAAAGAGAGAGAAAATCTAGTCTGATTCCCTTCCCAGTATTAAGAAATGGAACAGATTATGTGCTGTGTTAATGAGTATGATAAAAGAAGTTTGAGTGAGGTGGCTTTGGATTTTGTGAAAAAAAAAAGTTTGACAAGGCTTCCAAAATAAAATATTTTTGTTTTTCTAGGATAGTTTTTATGAGGCATTATTATTGAACAATAATAGATCACCACTGAAATACTGTTTTCAGTTCTAGGCACCACACTTTAGGAAGGACTTTGACAAAATGAAGTCCTTAATAAATCCTTGCTGACTTGACTTTTTGCCTTTCTCTGTGTCCCCAGTGCTTAGCACAGTAAATAATATTTTGCTTCATAGGTTCCCAAAGTGGGCGACACTACTGCTTGGGGCATGCTGGAACAACGTGTGTGTGACGGGTTTGGTCATAGCCTCGGGTACAATTGAGGGGCATTGGGGAGCAGTAGAAGCATAAGGAAAAGAAGAGAGAATTTTGAAAAACCTTTGGTACATGTTTCATCTGTTGTGTAACAGAGTTAAAGCCATAGTGATTACATAATTTTCCAAATAAATACACAAAATGCAAGTTATAATCAGCAGTCAAGTCTGCTGATAGGTCTTAACAAATAATTGTTGGCAGGTGAGTTGAGAAGTCTAGCATGCATCATGAGGGATATGTGCATGTGATGTTTTTTTGCAATACAATACTAAATGGTTATATGATGCAATATTGTGCCATTAAAATGTCAATGCTGGAAAAAAAACAAATTTATAATAAATTATTAAATTTAAGATGCATTTTAAAAAAATATATTTTATATTTTTTGAAATGACACAAATTATAAAAACATTAAAGGGTTAAAGAAAGTAGATTTCCAGGGGGTGCTGAGTAATTTATTTTTAAAGGGGGAGGAAGGCCAGATAATTTTAGGAACCTCTGGCTTAGCACATAGTAGGTGTTTAATAAATGTTTCTCTACCAATCAAATCTAAGGAAAGCATTAATGGATTTAGACTTGTTGTTGACATTTAATAATTACATGCACACATTTACACAGACAGACCAACCTTATTAATAACTGATGACATAGTGGCAATCTTCTGGAGACTTAACTTGGAAACTGTAGGGTTTGGGTCATTTACCCAGGTTCTGAAAAGTGCCAAAAATTCCTCGGGGAACGGATCTTTAAAAAAGTTATTCAGAAGCTAATATAAAAGAAAAGAAAGAAAAAAGAAAAGACAAAAATTATAACTAGAGCAAAGGTTATAACTATTGTTGTTGTTCAGTTGTGTCCAATGCTCGATGACGCCATTTTCTTGGCAAAGATACTGGAACAGTTTGCATTTCCTTCTCCAGCACGTTTTATATATGAGAAACTAAGGCAATCAGAGTTAGGTGACTTGCCTAGGATCATGCTGCTAGGGAACATCTGAGGCCAGATTTAAATTCAGGAAGATGAATCTTCCTGACTCCAGGCCCGGCACTCTACTGCACTACCTAGCTGTTAAAATTATGGGCACCGTGTTTTCCAAATCCCAAATAAGAAGCATAGTCTAACAAAGAACATCTCTTTTGAAAGCCCTTTCTTTTGTTGAAATTCAGACTGTCGAAGATTTTTGACTTATGGTCACTGTAATTGACATATGTAAATATATACTATATATTTTCAGGATCTACTTCTGAGTGTGAACAGTCAATACCTCATGTCATTCACTGCCATTACTTACCTCCATCTAATGTAAATGTCTGCCTAGGCTCCATGGACAGTCAAATGTGAACGAAAGAATTGGGTAGCTGTTGACCTTGAAAACTTCACTGGAAAGGAAGGGTAATGACTGGAGAAAAGATCGTACCTTAAACCATACAGCAGGAAAGGCCCGAGAAAGTGGTGATTGTTCTTGGCCAGAAGAAAGGAGGGAAGAGAAAGGATTGAGTACTGACCAGCCAACTATCTCTTCCACAGCAATAACCACTTGTGTTAACTGGATAATAATTCATATAGAATCATAAGATCACAGATTTAGAGCTAGAAGAGACTTTATGGTCATCTAGGTCAACCCCATCCACCTACCAGATGCACAATTTTACAGATAAAGAAACTGAGGCTAAAAGAGATTAAATGACTGGTTCATAGTAATACAGCTTATAGGTGTCTGAAGTAGGATTTATTCTAACTCCAAGTCCAGAAGTCTATCTAACACACGATATTGCCAAAATGGCTTGGTGACCTTGGGCAAGTAGCTTAATCTCTTTGAATCTCAGTTTCTTCATCTCTAAAAGGACCGGAGTTGGACTAGATGCTTCTGAGGACTCTTTTGGGTCTAGAGCATGATTTAGACATGGATAAGAAGTCTGAAAACCCCAGATGCCCACAGCTCCTAAGGAAGGCTTACCTCAATGAGGAAGATGACTGTGGTGACACTGTCCTCTGTTCTCCTGGGACCTTCCAAAGAGAGCTTGTAGAGGTAATGTAAGGTCTCAGGGAACTGTATGAAGTTATACTCACTGAGAGTTCTGTAAAGGAGAATGTAGATTTCCCATTAGGAAAGGGGGAATTTAATAGGTTCTACAGAAGGACCAAGGACAATAGAATGAAACTTCCCCCATCCTGGCCCACCTATACACAGAGGGAATCACTAACAATTCAAGAAAGGCTGTGAGCCTCAATCTAAGTCCTAAAAAGTTCTCTATACTAGGGTTCCTGGGAATTATATGAAGTCTGGATCTCTTAGCACATTTCCTATCATACTGATTTTATTCTTCTCCCCTGGGAAGACGGCTTTCAATCTGTCCTGGAATGCCTGCATGAAAAAGGCATGGTTCCATAAATTAATGAAATAATTTATATAAAACACTTTGTAAGCATAAAGAATTACACAAATGAGTTATTTAACTCCACTCTATAAGCATTAAGCCCCTAGTACAGTGATAGATGAGCACTGAGGATATAATGACAAAAATCTAAAATATTCCTGCCTTCAAGAACTTCTATTTTTTAAGTTTATTTTAAACTTAAATATAAAATAAGAAAAAAAAACTGCCATGCACACAGCAGAACATAAGAGAGAATTCACTATAAAACAATAAATTTTCATTTCAAGAAAACCTATGTAATAAATGTTACACATTGTTTTCAGAGCTACCCAGATTTTCTTTGCTTCCTCGTTGGTTTTCTTTTATTCTCTGCTGTGCACTTTTTACTTTATTTTTTCCCCTTCCTTCTCCCTCCTCCCAAAGAAGGCTACAATTAAGTGTAGATATATAGAGATAGATAAATACAGATAGATAGATATACATATACATATATGTCTATAACCATACACATAGATACACATATACTCTCATATACATATATGTGTTTAAAACAGTATTATGCTGATTTCCACTTATCTGTTTCTCTGTAGGTGGATGGCATCTTCCTTGATAAGCCCAAGCCTTTCCGCATTTTTCTAAATCAACCAGCTCATCATTTCCTACACTACAGCAAATTCCAACCCAATCACATCCTGTCTGAGAGATTGTCTATCAAAGTTTTTCCCCAATTTTCTGCATCCCTTCTAGTCTTGGCTGCATTGGTTTTATTTACAGAAGAAAATTTTAATTTAAAATAATCAAAGTTATCCATTTTATACCTGAACAATACTCTCATCTTATATCATTTAAGGTCTGATACTACTGAATCAGCTTCCTTTACATCTTTCCCCACCCTGGTTTCTTTGAAGTTACTGACCTTTTGTTCTTTGAAATGAATTTTGTTATTATTTTGCTAACTCAGTAAAATAACTTTTTTTTGGTAATTTAATTGGGATGGCATTACATAAATAGATTAGTTAGGTAAAATCGTCATTTTAAAAATTATATTGGCTTTACCTACTCATTAGCTATAAATATTACTTCAGTTATTTCGATCTGACTTTATACAAAAAGTATTTTATGTTTATGTTCACATAATTTCTGTCTTTCTATTTTGGCAGGTATACTCTTACGGTCTAGTCATTTTAAATGGTCTAAAACAATATTGAATAATATGCTGACACATAATGTAGTTTCCCTTTTTTCTTTTGACTAAGTCTATTTTAGCTTAAGAATTTATATTCTATTGGGTAGAAACAACATATATTTAAATAAATACATTAAAGGTATATGGAGATTGGAAGTCTTTGGAGGGGAGGACTAATAACTAAGGGGAACCAGGGAAAGCCTTCTGTAAGAGGTGATCCCTGAACTAAGCTTTGAAAGAAACCTGGGATTCCAAGTTGTGGAAATGAGACTGAATTTGAGGAGGCTAATCAGAAGATTATTTTAATAATCCAGGTAAGAGATGGTGGTGCCCTGAGCTAGGGTGGTTGCTATGTGAATGGAGAGAAGAGAACAGAGACATGGGATTTTGTAGGGAAGGCCAGCAACTGATTGGATATAGAGGGTGGGAGGAGAGTGAAGTGTGAATAATCAAGGATGATTAAGAGATTACAAACCTGGAATGGTGGAAGGGTGAAGTCCTTGATAGAAATAATGAATTGGAAGAGAGACTGGTCTATGGGGGAAAAGAACACATTTCATTTTGGACATGTTGAATTTAAGATGTCCATGGGATATCCAGGTGGAGATGTCTAGCAATAAATTGGTGAGACAGGAAAGTTCAGGGGGAAAGTGAAGTTTGAGTATATAGATGCAGGAGTCATCTGCATAAATTTGATAATTAAACCCATGGGAGCTGATGACATAACTAAGAAAGAGTAAAAATAATCTTTCCCATTTATTACCTCTCTCTCCTCTCCCCTACCAAATTTATCTGATTTCTAAGTTCAGGTTGTTACTACATTTCCTGAGACATTGATGAAATAAGAACCACCCAACCTAGTAACTAGACTTGCTTCTGGAGATACACTCTGGACATTCCCCTGCCATACCCAGAGGTCTCTGGGCATGTTTATGTCTTGGAGGAATATAAATAAAGTTGGAAGGTAAGGTGGGGCTAATAAAAGGAAGGGAGTGGTTATTTATCCCAAATCGAACTGTGTTTTTTTCTAAATGGTTGCCAGAGAGCATTCTTTGATATTTTGAGGGCTCGTGCCATCATTGTGTGTCCATTACTACCACCTATCCTAATGCCCATACCCCTAAGGAGATGGATTCTTGTGGCAAAAAAAACATAACAAAACAAAAAAACTATCCACTTTTGTGTTATGAACCTCTCTGAAATTACATAAGCTGGATACTGAACACAGTAATGTGATAATCATCTTGTTTTATCTTGAGGTAGCTGGATTTTTCAGTGGGTCGAGTGCTAGGCAACGCATCAGGAAGAACTGAGTTTAAATATAGTCTCAGATACATTAGCTCTGTGGACATAGGCAAGTCATTTAACCCCTGTTTGCCTCAGTATCCTCATCTAGAAAATGGGGATAATAATAATACCTGCTTGCTAGGATTATTGTTTAAAGATCAAATGAGATTATACTAGTAAAGCATTTAGCACAGTTTCAGGCACATAGTAAGCATTACATATATGTTAGTTGTTATTATTACTATTATTATTAATCTCCCCATATGCTAAAAGGCAATTTCCCTACGTTTTTGTGTTTCTCTCCACCCCCTCCCACCTTAGGAAGTTTCTTCTCTATCCTAGACTTCAGAAATTAGAGGTGAAAGTATCCATTTATATATGAGGACAGAGAATATTTCTACTATTTGATTACCTTTTTTTTTTACCGCTTCTTTTATGTCTTTTATGATGAGAATTCAAACATCCTAATTCAAATTCTAGTATTCTTTTCATGACACCAGTCAGGGAACACCTGTGTACTAGTCCCAACTAGCTAGCCATAAAAATGACTTAATACAATTCCCATCCTCATCATTCCCTTTCCTTTCCAATCACCAATGCAGAGGGGTAGGAACTGTCATTCCTCTCCTCCATCCTCAGCTTTCTCAACCAAAAATAAAGGAGGTTAAACTTGATAATGTCCAAGAAAGCCTCCTATGATGCTGTAAACCAAGACAAAATAAAGTTCATTTAAAAGATCTGCAAATATTGAGGCAGATAATACCTTTTTATTTCTTGAATTAATGGAAATGGGAGGTAGAAAAGGGCCTAGTATATTGATACTATTGATGGTTTTCTCTTACTTGGCAATGATGTAGACTCCATAGTGATGAAATATGACATTGGAAAACTGGTTCCAGCAATCCTTTTTCTGAAGGGCATTATCCACCTGTTGCAATCCTGAACATCTCAGTAGGAGCCTCAAAGCCTCCTGGGCAAAGCTAGATGGCCAAAACAAGAACAGTGTGATTGCTTGAAGAAAATACACACACCTTACTGATCAATCTCATGCATGATGTTGGTTTTGCTATGCAAGAGCTATTTCAGAGAAGGGTGATTAGGTGGTCTCCAGCTTTTATGGGGGGCAGAATATGAAGAAATACATTTAAGATTTCTTGTCCCGCAAGGGTTTTTAAGAGAGCTGATAAATAATAAAACAGAATGAAGCAAGTTGTGAAAATTCCCTTCTCTGTATCTCTTTTAAAAAGAGGATGGATTTTCACCTAAGGAAAGTCAGAGTAGTATAGCCCTAGACTTGGAATCAGGAGACCTGGGTTTAAGTAAAAAAAATTTCCAAATCTAATATTTCGTTATTATGGTTGTATTGACCCCAGTACTTACTAGCGCTATGATGATGGAGATCCTCATTTTTCTAAGCCTAGATATCTTCATCCATGAAATAGAGTCATAATACTAAGTCTACTTCCATGACAGAGCTATTTTAAGGAAATAATAATAGTAATTTCTCATCTGTTTGTATTACCATGGGATTCTCCATCAGGGTCAAGAAATCTTATTGGGAAAACCTCATCATTCTGCAAGATCCCATCAACTTTGCTACATCAGCATTTATATAATGCCTGTAACATGCCAAGTACTGTGCTAAGCACTTCACAAATATTATCTCATTTGGTCCTAACAATAACTACTTTAAAAGTTTTTATTTTTTTTGTCACATTTGAGTTCCAAGCTATTTCCTTCCCTTTCTCCCAACTCCATACTAGAGAAGGCCAACATTTGACACAGACATATACATATATATGTGTATATATATATGTGTGTATGTATATGTGTATATATATGTGTGTGTGTGTGTGTGTGTGTGTGTGTGTGTGTGTGAAATTATGTAATATGTAGTTACAAAAATCAGGGTTTTTTTTGTTGTTTTTACTTGAGATGGACAGCATCTTTCTTCATGGGTCTTTTGTGGTTGATTTGAATATTCAGATAATTCAGAGTAGCTTAGTTATTCAGTTACTCTTCAAACAATACTGTTGTTACTGTATACAATGTTCTCTTGGTTCTGCTCATTTCACTCTTCATATTTCATGCACAGCTTTCCATGTTTTCCTAAAATCAACCTGCTCATCATTTCTTAAAGCACAGTAGTACTCCATCACAATCATATACCAGAACTTATTCAGCTATTACTCAATTGCTGGGTATCCTCTCAATTTCCAGTTCCTTGCCACCACAAGGAGAGTTGCTATAAATATTTTAGATTTGTCCTATGAAGTTTGGAAATATAGTTATCAAAATGGGTTTTTATTTAAAAAACAACAACAAATTCAAAAACCCCAGGTTAAAAATCTTTAACAAAGAGGAATATTTTGGTCCTACTCACATTAAGGAGTCCATGTTATTCTTTTCCTTGTTGGGAGAGGGAAAAAAGGAAGGTATTACCTGTGTGATAGGAATTCCTACATAAGCAATAATAGGGAGCAATGGATGGTACATGACACTGTAGAACTTCTTTCTTAGTATTGCCATCTTACCATTGTTCTGTAATTTTTTTTAGGTTCATTTCACTGTTATAATGGAGTTGTAGTATTAGGGCAATTAACAGCTCGGGGAAAAACTGGGCTGCTGCTTTCTTGTACTCCGGGACAGGGAGCAAGGTACACAGAGCCTGGGCTGCCTAGGGGAAAAAAAAAAAGAAAAGAAAATGAGACACAACTGTGATTCTGGGTTTCCCCATTTTCATCTTTCTCTGATCTCGAACCAGTCTTAGTCAATAAAAGGAAGGACATCACCCACCCCAACCCCTATCTTCCTGGGCAGACTTAAATCCTGTAGAGTAAAATCATACTGACGTAACCCAGGGTTAGCTGTTCTCCAAAGTTCAGACTCTGGGCTTTAAGCAAACTTAATTATTTTCAAACCACGAAAATTCACTTTGTGGTGAATATTTCCAGAATTATACCAATAACTCATATTTACATCTTTTTTTAATTTTGCAAAGCCTTTTCCTTAAAATGGCCCTGAGGTCAAGAGTACAAGTATTCCTAGCCTCATTTTACCAACGAAGAACTCATCTTCAGAGTGGCTAGTTGACTTGTCTTTGATCACACAGATCAAAGGTCTGGATTCAAATCCAGATCTCCCCATCCCAAGCTCTATTCACTATACCATTCTGCATTTCAGAGTTGAACGGTTTTCAGAGATCATCTACTTCTTCAAAAGCTTTTGCTTTTCACAAAGGTTCATTACAAGATTCCAAGGGAGGGTGCCCAGGCTGGCCACATTGTTCATTTCCCACCATGTCCTTCTATGGATTGGTCCATCATGACCCCTAAAGCTCTTCATTGTGGAAGATCACTTCAGCCCTGTACTGCCACTTTAGAAATACCCTCTTTCCCTGGGTGGGGGTGGGGGGTAGGAAGTCTCCTCAGACTGGAGACTAGAGGACTTCTCCCAGAATCTCCATTTAAGGAGAGCACCCAGGTTAGCCATCTTTTCATTTTTCACCAGGTTACATGATTCTGGACTGCTCCATCATGCTGCATGCTGAGATACTTTTTTCCTTCCTTCCCCTTTTCAGTTTGCTTTTATGTATTGTCTTCCTCACTAGACCATAAGCTCCTTGAGGGTAGGGATTGTTTTCCTACTCAGCACAGTGCCTGACATACAGTAAAAGCTTAATAAATACTCATAGACTAACTGTGTCTGAAAGCTAGGTGTCTCAGTGGATAGAGTGCCAGGCCTGAATTCAAATCCAGCCTCAGATACTTACTAGCTGTATGATCTTGGGCAAGTCACTTAACCTTGTTGGCCTCAGTTTCCTCATCTGTAAAATGAGCTGGTGAAGGAAATGGCAAACCACTCCAATGTCTTTGCCAAGGAAACCCCAAATGGGGTCACAAAAAGTCTGATGTGACTGAAATGACTGAACAACAACAAAGAATGACTTTGGTCTTTGTATCTCCAGGAGCAAGCATTGAGGATGCTCTGGATTCATTATAGGCCTTTCAGCCTTCACTAGAGGTGTCTTAGAGTTCCAGAAAAGCTGTCTCCTTCCCCTGACCTTGTCTTTCACCTGAAGGGCTGACAATGCAGGAATGAGGACCTGCTCCCAACCCACTGCTTCTCTGGCCTACCTTTTGTCCACAGGCAGTCTTCTGGGAGGCAAAGTATCTGTGAAAATAATCTGGCCCAGGAGGAACCAGCTGGAGGGAGGAAGGGGGCAGGGGACAGGGGCTTTGCTCCAGGGCTGCCAATTCTCTTGGGGCTGGAGATAGAAAAGGAAGGTGGCAACACCTGTATAACTCCAAGGATTCTGTGAGATGTGGGCTTCATTGGGCTTCATTTGAATCTATCTCAGCTCAATTTCATTTTCAGTAAGAGTTGAATGAATGAGGCTTCCTTTGCAACCATTGGTAAACCACATTCTTTCTTTGAGACCTTGGTTTCTTCCTTTGTTAAATCAAGCGTGATTTTAAAATGTGAATTAACTAGAAGATCCCTAAGGTTTTTCTAGTTCTAAGGAGGTACTTTTAGGGAGTATATGTATGTGCATGTGCAGATATTTCCATTTATATGTGTATGTGTGGGCATATACATACATATACACATACATATGTGCATATGTATATGTAAATTTGGAGTCCTTTTTTAGCACCCACACACACAAAGCATCTGTTTGTGGTAAGGGTTGTTACTCTATCTCCACCTCTTCAGAAGTCAGGCTTTGAAGAACTGACCTTAGCACCTAGTTGTCAAGAGTAATTCATATAATTCATTTAAATAACAAGTTACCAAATGGTGGGGGTGGTGAGCCTTGGGTATCTCTCTCTACCCTTGGGATGATGTATACAGACAGGTACCAGTAGATAGAGCCCTGGGCCTGGAGTTGGGAAGGTCTGAATTTAAATTTGGCCTTCAGACATTGGCTAGTTGTAGAACTTTGGTAAGTCACTTACTCAGTCTGCCTCAGTTTCCTAATAATGGCACTCAGCTCACAGGGTGGTGGTAAGGATCAAATGATATTTCATTTTCATCTGTAAATATTTCATATTCATCATATCTGTAAAGTGCTTAACAGTGCCTGGCACACAGTAGCAGCTTAATAAATTCCCTTTTTCCCTTCCCTTGAAACTCTGGGCACTTTTGGTACCACTGGCCCTGGGTGTGATCTGTAGTACTTGTACTATATACAAATTCTCGGAGTTATGGATCTGAGTTCAGAGAGCATGTAGCCTTGATAATCTTGGAGATCTGTGATTCTATAAAAGCATAAAGGAAAGCTAGATTTGCTTTAGGGAAACACTACTCTGTCCCACTCCTTGGTAGTGGTCATGTTTGGGGCATTGGGTTTTGGGGGAATGGGATGCCTTCTATAAAGCGGTTGTCTTCGAGCCTCAGTCTTCCACTGGCTGTCACTTGCCAGGATCCCTTATCGAATAGACAGAGTGAAGAACTGGTGTACAAAGGCATAAGTAGCAGTTTTTAGGGGTCAGGGAGCAGCAGGTGTGAACTGCTGGACCTCATTGTGCCTGCAGTGGGGAGGGTCAGACACACTGTCTCCTGTTCTACAATTCCCAGCTGCCATTCCATGCCTTACCAAAGTGGTTTTGCCCCTGGCGAAATTATTCTTAGTTACAACTCTCCTATGGCAGACCTAAATGTAGGTAAGGGCCTCTGTGCTGAGCTGAGCATTGCTGCCACTAATAGCGAGAACCTTAAAAATGGTGGACATGAGACTTACTGTCACAGGCATCATGTTGGCATCATCAAGAGAAAAACGCTTCCGTGTTGTATTGCTTCCTTCTACTTCTCCAGGCTTCCCCTTCAGAACCGTCAGGATTGTCTTTAGCACAAGAGGTGAGGAGTCTGTTTCTGAACTGACTGCTTGCCACATCTCCAGCACTAAACTGAAAGGTAGTTCCCCACAAAGAAAATTTAAAAAGCGTACAGCAATCTTGCATTTGGTGTGCAACATGGAAATGTGCCCAGGTCACCCACTGAGGTCATCTCACTATGTGCCTGTAGCAGCTGCCTTGTTTCTTCCCACTTGGAACCTGCAGCCCTCATACGAGACCAAAGCTCTATATCCTGGACCTCCAGGATCCATGTTCTCAAGTCCCTGAAGAGTTGATACACTTATCTTGGGAGCTTCCATTCTAGGGCCAAACCTAGTTGATTGGAGATGGACTGAGTGCAAACTAGCTCAATTAACCCTCTATAGCTCCTGGCTTTCTCTAGCAAGACTATGTTTTACCTTTACATCCCATCTTGCGGTCCACCAAGGACATCCTCCAAGGACATCTCATCATCTGCTTGTTTTGTGTCCCTCCATTGCAAATATCAATCTCCATAACCTTTTGCTCTTGGTACAGTGATCAAATAAATACTGTTTACTTCTGTAAAGGTTCTATAAATTGGTTGCCTCACTATCTCTGTCACTTCCTAGACCCAAACTCCCTTCCTGGGCCACTACTCTACAGGTGTTGTGTTCCCCCTATTAGAATGTAAGTTCCTTGAGGGTGGGGATTGGTTGTCATTTTTATTTTTTAATCTTCAGCTCTTAGCACAGTAGCTGGTACATAGTAAATACGCAAAAAATAGGTTTTTTTCCTTCATTCATCCAAGTGGAGGGACAGGAATCAGAAGCCTTGGTTGTACTTTTTTTTTTATATACAACACAAATAATCATGTTGGAATCCCCAAACAGAGAGAATAATTTCTTTTTCCATTTGGTTTTGTGACTTCTCAACTTCTTGGGACTTCTTCGAAAGGGTTGTAACAAGATTCCAAAGGAAAATGAAGTTGGAAAATCCATTTTCCTCTTTTGCTTCTAAACATTGCCTAACCCTAGTCAGGGACTTGTGATTTATCACCCATGAATTCTGCTCCTCTAGGCAGGTGCACCTATACATTTAGGTCCACCACCACCCCCTTCTTTTTTTTTTTTTAAGGCAATTGGGGTTAAGTGACTTGCCCAGGGTCCCACAGCTAGTAAGTGTCAAGTGTTTGCTCTGAGGATGGATTTGAACTCAGGTCCTCCTGAATTCAGGGCTGGTGCTCTATCACTGCACCACCTAGCTGTCCCTACCACCCCCTTCTAATCCAGTAGCTTGGTACCACTGTGGCATTAAACAGGATACATAGAAGGAGTCTCTACTTCAGAAGATGTTGGCTCAACATTGAGGTCATTGTTGCTGGTGGTTCTGGCTCTTACTGTTCTCTTTCTGGAGTGCTAACCCCTATTACCTAATCTTTCTGTGCCAGTGTTTGACCCGATGCCCGATCCCTCCATGACTCCTCCTATGTCTTATTAATCCCTTGGTTCCCTGTGCCCTTATGTTTCCTAGACTAGTGTTTTCTGTTTAATCCTCTCGATTATGACCACTTATGCCATCTTGGACTGCCATTGCTCTCAGATCTGTCTCCTTTCATTCTGCTTATATTATAGACTTTGGTCCAGACTGTTAACTTGGAACTCCATTGCCTAGTATGGAATCCCACTTTCCTCTAGCTGCTCCCTTGCATCAAGGTTGATAGTCATGATGTTGAATTATGCTTCTCCACCTGGATAGGCTGGTACTACCTAATCTCCTATTTAGATGTCCTCTTCAGATGCTCAATTTTCAGGCTCTCTCTGGCCTCAGATCAGAAGCTAAGGAAACTTAGAGCTGGAAGGAACCTTGGACAACATTTAGGCTAACCCCCTTATTTTCATATAAAGATAATCAGGCCTGGAGAAGGGTGGTGATATCCGTGAGGTCACTGCTAGTATGTGAGCAGAGCCAGAGATACTGATGCCTATTCTACCGCATGATGTCCCCAAATAGAAAATCCTAGTCCTACCCTCATTTTTTTTATGTAAATCTTAGTGTTGAGATGTATTCATTTTTGCCTGGAAACAGTGTCTAATTAAATTCACCTGGTTCTAATTATCCCATCCCTTTTTTATTACTTTCACACTGATATGCTAGGTTTGTATTCTATTGCCACTAAGTGGGTTATCTAGCATTTATTAAACATCTTCTACGTGCCAGGCACTGTGCTAAGCCCCAGAGATATGATGAAAAGCAAAAGACAGTCCCTGCTGTCAGACTAATGTAAGAGACAACATGTAATCAATGATATATAGATAAGCTATATACAGGAGAAATTAGAGGTAATGAAGAGAGAGCAGACACTTGTCTTAAGAGGGATCAGGAATCTTGAGTATTATTCTTTCCACAAAAAAACCTTCCTATCCTTTGTCTCCTCACCTAATGGGTTCCCTGCTAAATTTTCTCTTGCACATTCTTATGTCCCACCTTTTCCATTCTCAAAATTCCCAGGTCATATAGCCCTGGATCATACTAGGAATTAAGAGCACAGACAACTAGAAACTTCCATCTGTAGCTGGGGAACTGAAGATTTCAGTTCATCTTACTAATGGGTGGAAGTGAGAGCCCTCCTCTTGGTTAATAAAGAGAGCACTTCACACCATTCCGGTAGATGTCCCAAGACTTCCATCAAGGAGAATAAGAAAATACCCATTTGTCAGGAAAATCCACTACTGTTTCAAGGGACAATGGTCAGTCCCTAAAATACAGGCATCAAGAAAGCAACATTTATAAGCTCTGGGTGAATATGCCCTTCATAAAAGAAACTTTCTCACCTGTTTACTGGATACATATAGTCCAAAAGTTGAAAGACAACTTTCTGGGGCAGGAGCGAGTCAACAAGGTGACTACCTGCAGCAATGCATGCTTTAGAATGTTGGGTGACTCACTACTCAATTGCTTATGAATATAATCCACAATCTTAGCTGCCTGGAAGAGAAACAGTACATCAGAAACTGTCTTCTTTGATGTTCTTCCTACTGTTTTGAATATGAATAATATGGCCCTAAGCTTCTTGAGGTTATGGCAAAATTCCACAGAATTCACCTCTCTAATTCAAGAAAATCAAGAACTGGAGGTAAGAATGTAAACCTCATCATTCATCAACAGAAAGAACAATGAACTGGGGGAAAGGGTAATCCAAAGCATTTTATGCTAAAAAAAATACATATATATTTAGGGAAGAAATAAACCTGCACATCCTTGAATGACAAACTAAGATCCATCTATTCTAAAATTCCTTGAAAACATGTCTTGGAAAGTCAGTTCAAGTGCAACCTGAATAGGAGAGTTTTCCTGACAACCTGATTTTTAGTGCTCTTCTCCAGTGGAACACAGTAGACACTTAATAAATGCTTGTTGACTTGACTTGAGGACTCAAATTACATGTAAATGTTGTTTCCCTCTAGTAGAATCAAACAAACTCTTTCATTTTGCCTTTCTATCCATAGAACTTAGAACAATGTCTTGCGTACAGAAAGCACTTAATGCCTGATGTTTTTATTGTCAATTCTGTCATGATCAATGAAATATGTCAGCTTCATGAAACCAGTTAAAATAACTTGCTGAACAAGCCATCTATGTGTCATCCAGTATGTTATCTCGATGATACCAATGTTGATATTGTTTGCATTTATAACATACATTGTCTTATTTGATCCTCACAAAAATCCTCATCAGATTTGTAGTGCAAGAAGTTTTGCCCTTTTCCTCACTTCCTCTTTAACTATCTGCAGTCTGGCTATTCATTCAAGTGAAACCACTCTTCCTGAGATTATCAGTGTTCACTTAATAGCCACATGTAATGGCTTTTTCTCAATCTTCAACCTTCTTAACAGCTCTGTATTTTTGACACTACAGAATACCCTTTTCTCATTGATTATCTCTTCTCTTTGTTTCTGTGACAATACCCTCTCTTGGTTTTCCTACCTGTATGATTGCTCCTTAGTCACCTTTGCTGGATCTTAATCGAGGAGCCACCTACTAACCATGTGTTTCCCCCAAGACTCTGTCGTGGGCTCTCTTCTCTTCTTACATGCTATTTATCTGATTATCTTGCTAGCTCCCATGGCATCTCTATAGCTCCTCAGATCTATTTATCCAGCCCTAACTTCTGTCCTGACCTCCAGTCTCACATCTACAATTGCTTAATGAACATCTCAAATTAAATGTCCCATAGACATCTGAAACTCAACATGTCCAAAACTTAACTCATTATCCTTCTCAAAGGACTCTATCTTCTTCAAACTCCGTATTTCTGTTGAAGGCATCATCATCCTTCCAGGCACCCAGGTTTGCACCCTAGGTATCATCCTTGACTCCTCATTCTCTTTCACCCTCCCCATCCGATTGGTTGCCCAAATCCTACTGATTTGTAACATTTCTCATACGCACCTCTTTCTCTTTTCTGACATTGCCACCACCTTGGTATCAGCCTTCAACACCCCATGTGTGAGCTATTGTAATAAGCTATTGGTTGCTTTCCCTCACTCGTTTCTCCCCACTCCAGTCTACCTCCACTCAGCTATCAAAGTGATCTTCCTAAAACAGAGTTCTGACCACATTACCACTCTTCCGCCTCTCCTCCCCAATCAAAGAACCTCCAGTGGCTCCCTAGTACCTCCAGGCTAAAAGCCTTTCTTTGGCTTTTAAATTTCTAACCATTTTCTGCTTGTCTAGGCTTCTTAGATCTTACTCTCCCTCAATGCACTCTATGATCCAGTGACACTAGACTTCTTGCCGTTCTTTACACCAGACACTCCTCCTGACTGTACATTTTCACTTGCTTTCCTTCATGTATGGAAAGCTCTCTCTCTTCATCTCCTGGCTTCCTTCAAGAGTTAAAGACAAAAGACCTGGAAGCAAAAACCAACTTCACCATTAGTTATGTGACTTTAAGCATGTCCCTTAACATGTCTCTGGGACTTGGTTTCCACATCTATTAGACGGAGATAATAATACTAGACAGAATCTAACTAAGGCACAGCAAATGGAGTTTTTGCTTCAGGGTCCTACACTTTCTCCCTAGGAAAGCGTCTTTCAATGATTCTTCTCCAAATCAACCACTATCTTTGCCTCAGCTAATGTTCTTATGGAGTCTATGAAAACAATCACACTCATGAGATTCTCTGGGATACCAGCTGCACGTTACCAGTGAGAGAAACAATTGATAACCAATAATTTGGGGAGATTTAGAGCTCTTCTCTTCTTTCAAAGTCCTCATTTTAAAAGTTCAGTCTCTTGAAGGACATTACTGACAATGAAATTGAATTAACTCTTCTCCATCTTGGTCAGAACCCCATTGTGTCCTACACTAGCTTAGGTGGAGATGGATCCTTTTGTCTAGATAGCTCAAGGCTGTGGGTAGTCTGGGTACAGAGAGAGTTTCTCTGTCCAAGGGTGACATGATGTCATTCTCAGCCCTTCATTTTAATATAGCTCACCTTCCATTTTATCATCCAATCAGAGTTGATTGCCACCCTTTAGGAACATGTATTCTTTGAAGGGTATATGAACTGTAAGCCTGCTGCCATGATTGTCTTTGGTTTAAGACAGCCAGCCAAATGACCACCCTTTTATTAATAATGGGCTGGCGTTATTAACAAAATGATTAAATTACTCAGAAACTGTTTCTTGAACCTTTTTAATCATCACACCAGCATGACTGCACCCCCAGAGGGGCTTGGAGTAGATGATCTTTAAGAGTCCCTTCCAATTTTAAATCTATCATCCTATGAGTTATAACAAGAGGCAAGGACAGAAAAAGGAGGATGTGTATTATAGTAGAATTCCCTCTTCCCCACCCCACCCAAAGGGGAAAAACAAAACAAAACAAGTGAATCTATGCTTTGTTATTATTAACCAAGGCTCTTACCCCAGTTACTTTAGTGCCATAGTCCATTAGGACCAGTTTCAACAAGATTGATGCTTTTGTTGCAGTCTTCAATGGAGGGCTGCAAAGTTTCTTCAGAAGACCAAAGACAAAGTCATTCAGCAGGTATGGTGGCAAGTATTCACCTATATACTGAAACCAAACAGGAAACAGCCAATCAGCCAGAGAGAGGCTTGATTCTGATGGGGTAATGGGACCTGCCTCCCTAAAAAGAAAAGACCATGTCTTTGAAAGCAAACCAGTCCCTGAATTTTCCCATACATTTCAGCATCCCAGATAACTGGCCTCTGCCCAAGGCAACTGGACCACCCCAGCCCACCTAGATCACCTAATTAGCTTACTTGACAGTGCTTTCACTTTAGCTCTTGGCCCACCCCAGACTACTTGCATATATCTACCACTCCTTAATCCCACTAGATCATCTAATTAGCCTACTTGATGTTCTTTCACATCTGGCCCACTCTGATTATTTATTACTCCTTAATCCCACCCAGATCCTTTCACTGTCCTTTTTGTATATAAGTGTCAGTCTCACTCCCAATAAATTGCAGGTTCACTAAGAACCCTGCTTGCCACTATTGCATTACAATAAACCTTGCCACTTTGACTGGAAGAAGGTTTGAGTGTATGAATTCTTTTCAGGAGACTCCACCCTGTACCTGATATTTCAGGATCGCAGCAACCCCAAACTAAATCAATTCCTTTGCATAAAGCAGATTTTTTTTTCCCTAGAGCAAAATAAAGAGAGAATATCCTCTTGGGGTGAAGACAGCCAGAATACAATGGAGGTAAGAGGGAACACAATTATATTTACTTCTCTACACCATGGTTGTGTGAACCCAGACTGGACATGGTCCTGGTGGGTGGAAATTAAGACTGACAGGAGTCTGGAGACACAAGAGGTAGAATAGTAACAGGGATGCATTGAAAGGAACTTCTGGTGGAAATGGGAGGACTCTGCTTCTTCCTGTCATAATGACACCAGGCAGAGAAGGATACAACACAAATATGTCAGTGTCTAAAATATGGAAGATAAAATCCACAGGAACTGAGCTATGTAGCAAAGGTGGGTAAAAAATGCCCCACTACATATTTGAGTAACGTGTTCTCATTGTAACCTCAGGAAATTTCCCCTTTTATTTATTTATTTATTGCTAGGCAATGGGGTTAAGTGACTTGCCCAGGGTCACACAGCTAGTAAGTGTTATATGTCTGAGGCTGGATTTGAACTCGGATCCTCCTGAATCCAGGGGCAGTGCTCTATCCACTGTACCACCTAGCTGCCCCAAAATTTCCCCTTTTACGGAGGCAGTACTGTATGTGGTAAATAGAGTACTCAACTTGAAATCAGAAAGACTTGGGTTCAAATCCTGCCTCAGACACTTAACAGTTGTCTGACCATAAGCAAATCACTTAAACCCTCTGTGCCTCAGTTTCCATATCTCTAAGAAGAGGAGGTTGGATGCAATGCTTTCTAAGGTCCTTTCCCACTCTAAATATATGATCCTTATGTTCCATATCATTCCTCCCCCCACCCCAAGATGGCATGCATTCTGAATACCTCTTCCCCTAATCTTCCCTCCTTTCTATCTCTCCCCCCTTTCTCTTATCCCTTTTCCCTTCTATTTTCCTGTAGGGCAGGATAGATTTCTGTATCCCATTTCCCATATTTCTTATTTCCCAGTGGCATGTGAAAACAATTTAAAAAAATTTTTTAAAATTTTTTTTTACTTTTTAGCTAGGCAATGGGGTTAAGTGATTTGCCCAGGGTCACACAGCTAGTAAGTGTTATGTGTCTGAGGTCAGATTTGAACTCAAGTCCTCCTGAATCCAGGGTCGGTGCTCTCTCCACTGTGCCACGTAGCTGCCCTGAAGACAATTTTTTAACATGTGTTTTTAAAACTTTGGGTTTCAAATTTTCTCCCTTCCTTTCTCCCCACCCACCCTCTTTGAAAAGGCAAGCAACTCGATACAAGTTATACACGTGTAGTCATACAAAACACGTCCATAGTAGTCATGTTGTGAAAAACTAAGTATATTTCCTTTCATCTTATCCTGCTGCCCATTTATTCTATTCTCTCTTTTGACCCTGTCCCTCCTCAGAAGTTTTTGCATCTCATTGCCCCCTCCCCCAATCTGCCCTCCCCTCTATCATTACCCTGCTCTCTTGTCCCCCCCCCCCATTTTCCTGTAGGGTAAGATAGATTTCCACACCCAATTGAGTATGAATGGTATTCTCTCCTTAAACCAAATCCTATGAGAATAAGATTCACTCATTCCCTCTCACCTTCTCCCCCTTTCCCCTCCACTGTAAAAGCCTTTTCTTGTCTGTTTTATGTGAGGTAATTTACCCTATTCTACCTCTACCTTTCTCCTTCTTCCAATATAATCCTTTCTCACCCCTTGATTTTATTCTCCATATATCACCCCTTCATCTTCAACTTATGTGCCCTCCATCTATCTATCTATCTATCTATCTATCTATCTATCTATCTATCTATCTATCTATGTATCTATCTATCTGTCTATCTATCTACATACATATAATTTTTTCCCCTCCAACTACCCCAATACTGATAGAGGCCTCATGAGTTACAAATATCATCTTTCCATGCAGGAATATAAACAGCTCAACCTTAATAAGTCTCTTATGATTTCTCTTTCCTATTTACCTCTTCATGTTTCACTTGAGTCTTGTATTTGAAAGTCAAATTTTCTATTCAGCTCTGGTCTTTTCATCAAGAATGCTTGAAAGTCCTTTATTTCACTGAATGACCATTTTTTCCTCTGAAGGATTATACTCAGTTTTTCTGGGTAGGTGATTCTTGGTTGTAATCCTATCTCCTTTGCCCTCTGGAATATTATATTCTATGCCCTCTGGTCCCTTAATGTAGAAGCTGCTAAATCTTGTGTTATCCTGATTGTGTTTCCACAACACTTGAATTGTTTCTTTCTGGGTGCTTGAAATATTTTCTCCTTGACCTGGGAACTCTGGAATTTGGCTATAATATTCCTAGGAGTTTTCCTTTGGGGATCTCTTTCAGAAGGTGATCGATGGATTCTTTCTATTTCTATTTTGCCCTCTGGTTCTAATATATCAGGGCAGTTTTCCTTGATAATTTCTTGAAAGATGATGTCTAGGCTCTTTTTTTGATCATGGCTTTCAGATAGTCCAATAATTTTTAAATTCTCTCTCCTGGATCTATTTTCCAGGTCAGTTGTTTTTCCAATGAGATATTTCACATTGTTTTCTATTTTTTCATTCTTTTGAATTTGTTTTACAGTGACTTGATTTCTCATAAAGTCACTAGCTTCCAATTGTTTCATTCTAATTTTTAAGGAAGCATTTTCTTCAGTAAGCTTTGGGACTTCCTTTTCCATTTAGCCAATTTTGCTTTTTAAGGCATTTTCCTCTTCATTGGCCTTTTGCCATTTGGGTTAGGCTATTTTTTAAGGTGTTATTTTCTTCAGTATTTTTTTGGGTCTCCTTTAGCAAGCTGTTGACTTGTTTTTCATGATTTTCTTGCATCACTCTCAGTTTTTCCTCTACTTTTCTTACTTGCTTCTCAAAATCCTTTGGCCTGGGACCAATTCATATTTTTCTTGGAGGCTTTGGATGTAGGAGCTTTGACTTTGTTGTCTTCTTCTGGTTGTGTGTTTTGATCTTCTTTGTTACCAAAGAAAGATTCTGTGGTCTGATTCTTTTTGCGCTGCTTGTTCATGATTGATCCCAGCCAATTACTTGAGTTATAAACTCTTTGTTAAGGTAGGAGTCTGCTTCCAGTGTGGAGAATGTACTGTCCCAAGCTTTGAGGGTTTTGTGTAGCTGTTTTCAGAGACACTTCTAGGGACCTGTAAATTTTCAGTTCTTCCAAGGTGGTATGATAAGAGGCGAGGTGTTTACTCCTTTCCTGGCCTGTGCTCTGGTCTGTGAGTGACCACAAGCACTCTTTTCTGTCTTGGAACTGTGAGGAGGATTTTCTCTTCACTACCACTACAAATTCCACCATGCCAGCACTCCTCCCTGCCCCAGGACTACCACCAGAACTGTGACCCAGATCCAAGCACAGGCAAAGCAAGAGAATCCTGCACCAGCAGAGAGATCCCTGCAATCCCCCTCTGATCAGCCACTCAATTCCCCCTCAGTCTGTGGGCCAGAAGCTCAGGAGGCAGCCATAGCCCTGGGACCAAGCTTTCGGACTGGGGCTAGGACCGTTCTTCTTTCTCACCAGCACAGTCACAGACTTTTCCTACTGACCTTCTAAGTTGTCTTTGGTGATCGTGGGTTGAGAAGTCAGGAAACTGCCACAGATGTCCCTGGTTCAGTCCTCTCAGGGCTGCTCCAGGTTTGCTGAGGCCTGTTTTACCTGTGCGCCTACATCAAACTGTGCTCTTCTTTCCACCTGGCAAGATATACCTTTATGATCAACCATTCAGGCTGTCTTGGGCGTAAATTTGTTTCACTCTGTCTTTTTGTGGGTTCTGCTGCTTTAGAATTGGTTTAGAGCCATTTTTTACAGATATTTGGTGGAGAGTTCAAGCAAATCACTGCTTTTACTATACCATCTTGAATCCACCCCCTGGAGAGTATTTTATAAGACATTTATTCTGTATGCTTCACAGTTAAACTTGGGGGGGAAAAAACGAAACAAGAAAACTGTTGGGGTTTTCTATCTCTCACACAGTGAGTCTTTCCTTGATTTCCATTGGCTGAAATAACCCAGAGTCTGGGGCTGGGGTGAAGGAAGGGGGCTTAAAGCATTTCTTCTTTTCTAGAGAGAAAAGAAGGCTGACAAAATGATAGACAGAGAGAGAGTGAAGGAAGGAGACCAGAGAGAAGAGAAAGACCTGCCCTAAGAGCTAGGAATATGGAGACAGAGCAATCCATGAGGTCTGTTGACTTTGTCCCTTTCAGGAATGAAGAGGAAGCAAGCTAGGCCCTACAGGAACCTTATGGACCACATTTATACCCTCAATTTCTAGCATACTAGCCTGATTATAGTCCTTGCTCCATGTAGGTTTCTTATTTTGAATTGAGTTGCTGATTCAAATATGATAAACCAGGAGATATATTCTAGCCTGTTGTTGTCTGTCCTTCCTTTAGGACACCAGTGGTATTATGAGGTGATGTCTTGACTTGCCAGTGATTTTGATTTAAGTGAGGCAGGGTTGCACAAAATCAGGGGCTTCTTCCAGAGTCATCAGAGTCCAGCAGCAGGAGAAAAATTAGGATGACTAGTGATGGCCTGGAATGCATGCATGCCCTTGGTGTCTTTGATATCTGCCCAAGCTCTAAGAGCTCCAAAGTACCTCCTTCAGCTGCCTCGATGGCCTTTGGAACAAATTGTCCTCATCTGCCTGTTCTGCCAATGAAAGTCTTAACATGGAGTATTCAGAGAGGATTAGCCCTTCTAGTGTGAGAGCTTACCGAGCCCTTTTTTCAGGGCTGGCTGCATTCCACTTTTGTTGTCCCTTTCACCCAGCTCTTACCTGTGGTTCTCGGGATTTTATCATTGAGGAAACTGCTCTGAGAAATGATTTGATTTCCCAGTGTTCACAAAGGTAGCAAGTGTTGGAGCTAGGAAACTGTCAGGTTTTGTTACTCCAAATATATCACTTTCCTTACTATACAATCTCAAACATTAAAAAGTTTTGAGTTCTACTCAATTTCTAAACTTTTTTTTTTTTTGCTGTGATATAGCACGTTAGAGAGGGGCTGTCCTTTGAGTCAGGAAGACCTGGGCTCAAATTCTGCCTCTGGAGTATATTGGGTATGTAACCCTGGGAAACTCATGTAACCTCTCTTTGTCTCCAGCAAATTCTCTAATTTAGAGATGAATTGCCTACTGGCATTGGTGAAGGATGTTACCACACAAGGAGTTACCTGTACCAATGAGATCACACGTCCTTCCTCCATACCTCCACAAAGAAATGTATTGGAAATATTCAAATAAGAATGATTGGAGCAGTGTTATGCCATTAAACGTGATTCAATGCCTAGTCTACAGTACATAAATCATCAAAGGTTGAGTTACCATAGCAATAGCAGCATTGTTTTTCTGAAAGGTACTAGGCGTGAAGTCATTTTCAAAAGGGTTGATACACTTGCAGTTTTCTGGTCCTCGCGATTCCATCATTAGATACGCACACAAATCCTCTGTATAAAAAAAGGGCTCATATTAATGTTCCCATTTGCATTCTGGGGGGGAAGAACTGTAATGTTTAATTCTCTCCCTGGATGATCCAGCAACTCGCATTGATTTTCTGAATGATGCTGACTCCACTGCTAGACTGGGTGTGCAAACTGGCACAGACTCATAGAACCAGCACTTTGGAAGAGAATAGCTTAGGCCTCAAAGAAGTCAGGCTGTGGTATGTGATTGATTCCATACGCCAAAAGGCTTTCAGATGTGCTCTTTATGTGACTCTTGATCAGCATGAAAGAATGTTTAAAACAACACCACCACTTGGGAGAATCAATGGTAGGCCAGCAGTCAATAACAGTTGGAATGGATCCATTGAATGGGATTCAGTGGGAGCCTGCTAGAGTCGTGGATTTAGAGCCGGAGGGGACCTGAGATGTTATCCGGTCTAACTCTGTGATTTTACAAATGAGGAAACTGAGGCCCATAGAGGTTCAAAGGTTTGCCCACGGTATTGAGAGAGCTGAGATTTTAACCAATGTCCTTTGACTCTAACTTCAGTGCTCCTTCTACCTAACAGTACTACTGTACATTGAAGTAGTAGATTATAAAATTGGCTAATGTTAAAATAGGGCAGCTAAGTGGCGCCATAGTGCATAGAGCTCCCGGCCTGCTGTCAGGAAGGCTCATCTTGCTCAATTTAAATCAGGCCTCAGGCACTTACTAGCTGTGTGACCCTGGGCAAGTCACTTAACCCTGTTTGTCTCAGTTTCCTCAACTGTAAAATGAGCTAGAGAAGGAAATGGCAAACCACTCCAGTATCTTTGCCAAGAAAGTCCCAAATGGGGTCACAAAGAGTTGGGCATGACTGAACAACCAATGTTAAAATATTCTTGTTCCATGAAATAGCAGAATGCTTATTCCTTGGTGTCAGACTGAAGAATGTGGGGAAAATCTGGTTGTTCTCTGTGGGGCCTTGTATCCTTTTAACTTCTAGTATGCTACTTCTAAACTTTAATGTTGTAGGAAAAGGCAAATTCCAGTGGCTATGGTGGAGAATTCAAGCATTAACTATAGAGAAAGAGTGGCAATAAGGAAGGGGCCTTCCCTCTTTATATCTTTTCCTTAATACATACATACATACATATACATATGTATATATATATATATGTGTGTATATATATATACACACACACACATATATATACATATACATGTATGTATGTGTATATGTGTGTGTATGTGTATGTATGTGCATGCACTCTATCCCTCTATCAGTCTTTTGCTTCAAACCTCACCTTCATTTCTAGATACATCCCATCTTTCTCTTCTCTCCTTTATCGCTTTTCTTAGGTACAAGGGTATGAAAGCGGGAAGGGAGCTAGGGAATAGTAAACACATTCACAATTGCCCTGTTGTAGGGACATGATACGAAGTCTGGGGCCCTGGAAGAAGCCCAGTAGTACCCGGATGAGGAAAGGTAACAGTGCTCCCTGTCTAGTGGCACAACTCCTCTAAAGCTCTTCTAAGTACATGATGTAATAGACTGGAGATGAAATTGGAACATGACCATCTTCAAAACCCAAAAGGATAAGTGGTTCTTCTGGGAGATTTTAGAAAGAAAAAGGAAAAAAGAAAAACAAAGGCTGTTGTACAGGTCTTGTGAACGTGGGAAAAAATAAATTAAAAGTATCACTCATAGGCCAGCACAGGCTATCAGAGAAACCCTGATGTAGAAGTTACACCAGCAGATGTGAGTAGAACAGCCCAGACCAGAAATCTTTGCCTCATCTTGGAACAACCGTGGTGGCCGAGACACCACTCTTACCATTCTGGCATTTTACAATGCAGAGCAGATGATATATCGCCAAAGAAGACTGGACAACAATCGAGGGCTCTTCATGATTGCATAAAATAGCCAGTTCTGCTGCCAGCTGACCCATACATGGAGCATCGACACTTGTCTGACAGAGACAGAGAGAGGACTTAGCTATCTTAATATGCTCTCTATAACATGGAGCATCTCAAAGGGCATAGATACCAATGCCAGATGATGACCCCAATGAATTACTAATTCAATTATGAGTTATTCATTTAATTATGATTAATGAATTACTAGAATACTATTAGAGATATGGCAAGCTATTTACGTATTCAGGGCAGATGGCAGCAGCAGCAGGAGACAAAGTTCATCTGGATTACTGCTGCTGGGAGGCAGGAAGTGCCCTGGGACACAATGAGTTTTCAAATCTGCTGAAAGGGGAGGAGGCACCCCAGAATGAGGTTGCTTTAGCCAGAGCATTGGTGCTAGGCAGAGGAGGGAGCATACTTGGGAAAGACTTTTGATAATATTAGGAGTTGGAGGGGTCTAGAAAGTGCCCCCCGCAAGGCGCTGTTGGTGACGTCTAAACATTCTGCCGTGGCACTAAACCCCAGTGACCCTGACTAGTTACAGATTTGAGTTCCATACCATTAGGCAGAGTTTATAGAAGTAGTCTTAATGCTCTCATCTTCATGTATAGCAAAATGCAGGTTACATCAGATGTCCTTAGACAAATCTCTCTATAACCTCTTGAAATAATCTGACTCCTGTACATGACTGAGATCCCTACTAGAAAATTCATGGCATTACTCCCCTTCACTCACTTTCTATCCCACTCTAGAATAGATTACATTAAAACAGTTTCTAATCTAATCTAATAGATTAGATGAGAATAGTTTGATTAGAACAGAGAGTAAAGAGGAGTCACGGCAGGAATTTTCCAGAAGAGATTTTTAGTTATAGATTGTTCAAAATAGCCTCTGAGTTTCCTTCCAATGTTGTGAAAAATAGAAGGGGCCCAATGGTTTGACCAGCTGTGGTTGGAGCTCATATTACATGCTCCAAACACGGTGCTCTTTAAGAAGGATAGAGAGAAGGATATATATATTTACAGGTCTTCCCAAGTTATAATCTGCTGACATGCTGATTCTGTGCATATAAATGGTCAGCTACACATTGCCAACCCTTTGACTGAATCCAAACTTCACAGAACAAATTCTGGGGGGAAAACAAAACAAAACCAAACAAAATAAAATTGTGAAGTTTGGATTCAGTCAAAGGGCCTCACTTGAAGACCTAAAGGGCCACATGTGACCTTGAAGCCACAAATTCCCCACCCCGAGTTGTAATCCATCATGTATAAGAGTGATTCCCAGCATTATTTCTTTCACAAACCTCTTTGCGAAACAGCAAAACTGTGTTGTGAACCCTCATGGCAATTTAATATCCTACTCATAATATTCTGCAATGTTTTAGTAGTTTAAGGCACCAGTGAATCATTTTCAATGCAAACCCTTTGGACCATGATTGCAACTTGGAATTTTGCAAATCACTAAATGGGCATCATTAATGTATAACTTTGTTTCCAAAGAAAAACATGTTCTAAATTCCAAATATTCTTCTTTACAAAGAGATTGTTTAACATTAGCTATGGCCCAGAGAGCTAGGACAGAAGAGGACCAAATCATCATCCATTCTAGGAATTCTCAGAATTCATGGCCACAAGAAGTTTTGTAGAAGATACATCCATCACTGAGGCATTTATTATGCATTAATGGAGGTGTCCAGACTATTCTTTTGGGAACACTAAGTGATACAGGGATACTTGAGGCTTAAAGATTCTTTTCCTAATGATTCATGCCACCACCAGTGAGGCTCTTGGGCATGCCCCTGTGTCTATTGAGAAAATAGGCAGAAGGATTGGGTTGTAGAACAGGGGGGAGAACTTCAGCAATACAGTCTGCAGAACGAGGTAGCAAAGGAATCTTTTCTGACTTACATATCCCTTAACTTTTCTTTTTGAATACTTTAAGACTCTGCTTATGATGTTCAGGACTCGTTCCTGCAAGTAATAGGTCTCTCTGTTCATCCACATGATCATTTCCTGTTGGGAATGCAAGGGAAGTAAAAGAATGAACACTGGACCAAGAGCTGGATGTAGTATGGACTCCCAGTTTTACCTACTGAGGACTCTGTGGTTCTCAGCAAAATGAGATAGGTTAGTTTAGGGTTGTAGGAATGGATCACAGCTCTAGACTTCTGAGGTTTTCTAGTTTAAACCCTCACCCTCATCCCCTATGATTTTACAGATAAAGAAACTAAGATCCAGGGAAATTGCGTGAGAATAATAAAAGATTATTAATTATTAATTACATATTTATTATTAACCAATAAAATATTAATATTACATTACAAATAATAAATAATACCAATAGCATTAACATTATTAATACATTGCTTTTAGTCTGTTTTACTTTTTTCAATTCTTTTTGAACTTAAATACATAAAGACAAAAAAGAAAACATTTTCATGTACACAGCACGATATACAAAGAGGATTCATTATAAAACCATGAATTTACATTTCATATTTTACTTTTTTGAAAAACTATATAAGTACTACACATAATTTTCAAAGCTACCCTGCTTTCCATACTTCCTTCTAATTTTTTTTTTATTTTCTGCTGTGCACCTTTTAAATTTCTTCCTACCCACTCCAACCTGACCTAGAGATGGCTAACATTAGAATATGTGCATATACACACACACACACACACACACACATATATGTATATATATATATACACACACACATACATATATATACACACACATACATATGTATACATACATATTATTTGTGTATATGTATATTATATATATGTACATGTGAAACCATACTATACGTACTTCTATTCATTAGTTCTTTCTCTAGAGGCAGATGGCAGATAGCATCTTCCTTCATAAGTTCTTTGTAGTTGATTTATTTATACCATTCATAGTGACTTAGTCACTCAAAGTTGTTCTTAAAACAACATTGTTGTTAAAATGTACATTGTTCTCCTGGTTCTGCTCATTCTGTTCTTCATTATTTCATGCAAGGCTTTCCATGTTTTTTTTTTTCTAAACTCATTGAGCTCGTCATTTCTTATAGCATAGTAGTATTCCATCATGATCATATACCACAAATTGTTTAGGCATTCCCTGATTGATGGGCATCCTCACAATTTCTAGTTCTTTGCCACCACAAAGAGAACTGCTATAAATATTTTAGAACTTATAAGTTCTTTTCCTTTTTCCCTAATCATCTTGGGAAAGACCCCTAATAGTGGTATTGCTGGTCAAAGGGTAAAGACAGTTAAATAACTCTTTGGGCATAATTCCAGAGTGCTCTCCAAAATGGTTGAATTAGTTCACAGTTTCACCAACAATAAATTAATGTTCCAATTTTTCCACATCCTCCCAACATTTGTTGCTTTCTACCTTTATCATTTTAGCCATCTGATAGGTGTGAGATTTTATCTCAAAGTTGATTTAAAGTATTTTTTTCATGTGACTATGAATTGTTTTGATTTCTTCATCAAAAAACTGCCTGTTCATATCCTTTGACCATTTATCAACTGGAAAATGAATTGTATTCTCATAGACTTGACAAAGTTATTTATATTTTGTTTAAGATACGAGATCTTTATCTGAGAAATTGTAAAAATTTCCTTTTTTTTTGCTTCCTTCTGATCTTGGGCTATATTGGTTTTATTTGCACAAGAAAAATTTAATATAATCAAAATAATCCATTTTATATTTCATAATGCTCTCTATTTCTTGTTTATTCATAAATTGTTTGCCCATCCATAAATCTGATAGGTAATATGTTCCATTTTCTTGTGATATTTCCCTTTATATTTAGGTCATGCATCCATTTTGATCTCATCTTTGTAAATGGGGTAAGATATTGATCTATGCCCAATTTCTGCCAGACTGCTTTCCAGCTTTCCCAACAATTTTTACCAAACAATCCATTCTTACCCCTAAAATTTAAGGCTTTATACTTGCCAAACACAGGGTTACTATAATCATTTGCTGCTGTTTATTGTATGTCTACCCTGTTCCACTAATCTACCTTTCTATTTCTTAGGCAGTACCAGATAGTTTTGATAATTACTGTCTTATAATGTAGTTTAAAATCTGGTACTGCTAAACCTCCTTCCTTTACACTTTTTTTCCATTAGTTCCTTTGATATTCTTGACATTTTGTTCTTCCAAATTACTATTTTTTCTAACTCAGCAAAACAATTTTTTGGTAGTTTAATTGGGAAGGCATTGGATAAATAGTTTAGGTAAAATTGTCATTTTTATTATATTGGCCCTACCTACCCATGAACTATTAATATTTCTCCAATTATTTAAATATGATTTTATTTGTACTTACTTAAAAGCTACCCCCTCTTTTTTTTCTAGATAAGCAGTCTTTCTCTAACCATTCACAAGCAGTTTTTCTCCAACCATTCATTTAGTTCAATCCATATTAACTTCTACTCCTTACCTCCTTGTGGTAGCTTAAGCAGTATTCCTAAAGATGATCTTCATAGCAAATGAGAAAGTACCCTTGAGGATCCCACAAAGATTTATTCAAGTTTATCCCATTTATAGGGACGATTAAACATATGAGCTTTCTCACTTCAATAACAATGATAGCTAGCATATATATATATATATATATTATATATGTGTATAGCATTTAAGATTTATGAAACAATTTATAAATATATCATTCTATCCTTACAGCAAAATTAGAGTTAGGTGCTATTATTATCCCTATTTTACAGATGAGGAAACTGAGACAGAGGTTAAGTAACTAGCTCAAGGTCACACAGCTAGTAAGTGTCTGAAGATGGATTTGAACTTGGGTCTTCCGGACTTTAAGGTACAAGTTCAATAAGAGGCTCTTGGAATATAGATTTGGGTGAGTTTTTAAAATATAAGCAGGACAACCAAGCTACCTCTCCCCATGACCATGGCTTCAGTTCTACCTGAGTCCCAAGAGTCTTCATGAAAATCATCCCCTATCATGCTTTACTTTATTCCGGTCTGCAAAGAAATGTCTCTCTACCTTGACTGTGTGTTTAGAAAACATTTGTGATTTTAGTCCCTACAACAAGGCCAGAGTTCTTCAATTTTCATAGATCTTCTTAGTGAATATCAGGGTATCTGCTATGAGCTCTACCACACGAGGCGACACCCTAATTGTCACCACTATTAGAATTACCTCACTGGATCAGAACCAGAGGTCTTCCACCATCTGGATGTGACATGGATAAAGGGGGTGGGGCAGACTGGGGTATTTACCAAAGGTGACATTGTCAAAAATAAATAGATATATGTATTGTTAGCCATGATAGGGTGCCACTCTTTGGCTTCACTAGCTCTGTGTGTGCTGGAGAGCAATACTATATAGACACATATGTGTCTATACATGTGTATATATGCATAATTATATACACACATATGTACATATATACACATATATTTGTGTGAATGTGTGTGTGTGTAGTTAAGTGCCTACTATGTGCTATATAATATATTTTGTGGTTCAGTCATTTTTCAGTCATGTCCAACTCTTTGTGACCCCATTTGGGGTTTTCTTGGTAAAGATACTAGAATGGCTTGCTATTTCCTCCTCTGGCTCATTTTTACAGATAAGGAATTGAGGCAAATAGAATTAAGTGACTTAGCAGTGTTACACAGCAGGTGAGTGTCTGAGGCTGGATTTGAACTTTGAAAAAAGAATCTTCCTGACTTCAGACCTAGCACTCTATCCACTATATGTTTGTATGTATGTATATATACATATATGTGTACACAAATACCATATAGAATGAAAAAGCATAGTATAATAGATAGAACTTGTCACTTTGAATCTAAACACCTGGATTTGAGTGTTAGCTCAGACACTAATGAGCAGTGTGATTTTTAGCAAGCCCCTTAGCCTCTTTCCAAATTTCAATTTCTTCACTGATAAAACAGAGCTATTAATACTTAGCTGCCTCTCTTATGGGTTTGTCCTAAAATGATGAAAGTCCTCTGTAAAACACAAAGTGTTTGATAATAAATGAGTTATTATTCAAGTTTATTCAATTCAACTAACATTTATTAAACACTTATTGTGTGTAAAGCACTGTGCTAAGCACAGTATATACAGAGATGAAAAACAGCAGTCCCCACCCTCAAGAGACTTACATTTAAATGATGATATAATTGGAGTGCCATTATAAGGGGGGTTCTTTATTATAGGAAAATACTGCAGATTACATTGTGGAATATCCCTACTCCTAACTCCTTAAAGCAAGCTTATATACACATATTAAAAGAGTATATATTAGTTCTAGTATCAGTAACCACTAACAGGACCATTGTTCTACTTGAAGGATCAGAGACATTAATTTTTGTTTTTTAGTATTTCTATTCATCTTTCCACAGGGATAGGTATTGGATTCATGATTTTCTTGGTACTGTATAGGGAATTCCCAGGTAAGGAAACACCTCTCCCAAGGCAGGTTACCACCTTCTCTGCAAATGAGTCTTAGTCACAAAGCCCTGAGAGGCTTAGTAAGTAGCCTAGCATCCCCTAGGATTTGTCACAGGTGGGACATAAAACAAGGGCTTGTTTTCCATTTCCATAGAAGAGACTAAACCTTTTTTTTTTTGCTACCCAATTCTAGAGATGATGAGAATCACCACCAGAAAATTGAAAGGGAAAGGGAGACAGAGGATAACAACAGAAATATGTCTAGATTCCTGGACACATGACAGGAATATAAACTTTTAATTTCAGTTCAAGATCTAAATAGAAACCACCCTTCCTAGGGTTGCCTACTTTACCCTTAAGAGCTGTAGCTTGTAGAGGTCTTTTGATATCAAGATCAGAAGTGTGTCCTCAAAGGTGGTTAAAATAGTTTGATAGAGTTGCTGTGAGAGAAAAGGAAACCAGAATTATGAGCTGGCCTTAGGCAAAATCCCACCATCAATGAATTTGTACTCATCACAATCTGGGCAGGAGTTGGGATCCAGGGATAACATTATCTTCAAGTGGAGGAGATGTTGATGCCAATATCACCTTTCCTGTAATAGGTGAGCCTAAGACATAAGCCTGACACTGGATACTGATACTGAAGAAACAGGACTAAAGAACTGTCTTTTCTCACCCAGGCCACCTCTTTCTGCTCCCACTCCAATCATCTTAAACATTTTTCATTAATTAGCTTGTTCCTGTGCATCCACTTTACCACCAAACTCTCCTCCATCCACATAGTCCCCTTTTCATCGTCCCTCTCCTCTCCAATCACTCAGTGGGAATTGTAAACTCACTGGATAATACATTTAGAGTTGGGGGGGACTTCAGAAATCATGTAGTCCAACCCTTTCATTTTACAGGTGAGGAAACTGAGGCCCAGAGATATATGATAATGATAATAAGAGCCAGGATTTTGGAATGGAAATAAGCATTTACATAGTGCCTACTGTGTGCCAGGAACTGTGCTAAATGCCTTTTGCAAACATTATTTTGTTTGATCTTCACAATACCGCTGCATATTAGGTGATGTTATCCTCATTTTACACATGAGAAAACTGAGACAGAGAATAAGTGATTTATCCAGGGTCACGTGGCTAGTAAATGACTAAGGTCAGATTTGAACTCAGTTCTTCCTGATTCCAGACCATGTGCCCTATCTACTGCACTACATCACTCCCTTGATATATGGTTATTATTTGATAAACGATATGTAATTTGGGGCAGTTATATGATACAGTAGATAGAGTGCTGGGCTTGGAATCAGGAAGACTCATCTTACTAACTGTGTGGCCCTGGGCAAATCACTTAACCCTAGTTTGCCTCAGTTTCCTCATCTTTGAAATGAGCTGGAGAAGGAAATGGTAAACCATTCCAGTATCTTTGCTAAGAAAACCCTGAATGGGGTCACAAAGAGCTGGACATGATGGAAAAATGACTCAACAACAATATAATTTGAACCCACATCATTCTCAAAATCCAGCACCCTTGGCCCCGTGCCCTTGCCATGTAGAACTCACTAATAGATCCATCTTCCTCTCTTAGTGAGGAGAACTTGGGGCAGTGTACTTGGTGACCATCAATCCTTGTCTAAGCCACATGTGAGAATAGAAGCCAGATGTCCTCTCAGCCCAAGAAGAAAGGTGGACACCAAGAGAATGATTCTGGAAAAGGGAAGTAGAACGACATCTGGTGAAAGGAATGAAGGGCCTCTGTGGTTTCTAGGACTTTGGCGTTAGAAGGGATCGTCTGGATGCAGCCTGCCTCTTCCCAAGCCCCATCTTTCCCAATTAAGGAAGACTAGGCCCAGAGGACTAAATGACTTGCCAATGGTCACTTAGTTTGTGGCCGAGATGGTAGTAGAACGCATGTCTTTTTCCCCCTCGTCCATTTCTCTGTCCACCCACAGTAAATGAATAGCATAGAACGCTACCTCGATGTCTTCTAAGTCATCTCGACTCATCTGCCTTTGTTTTAGTATTTCTATGTCAGGCATGGAGAACACATTTTTAAAGCATTCCTGTGTTTTCTTCAACTGGGTATCAAATTGCTCTAAGGGATCCACATAGCTAGGAGGAGAAACAGAGCATTTGGTCACTTTTATTCTGTTAGTATGGTCAACTGAGGATCAGGACAAACTCATTTATGGGGTAGGGTTGTGACCTGAAGTATAACCTTCTTTGAATGACAAAGAAAGGAGTAACCTACTCCTGTTCAACAAAATCATTTGCCAATAGCCACTCAACTTTTTTTAAGAGCCTACCATATGTAATGCAAAAGTGATTGATTTAATATAAGGCATACTTCTTAGAAATACTCCATAAAAGCTGGACTCCCTAATTCCTGAGGCCAGACAGGATGAAGCTGGTGGATTGCTTGAACTCAGGTGTTCTGAGCTACAGTAAAGCCTATCAGGTGTCTACACTAAGTCTTGTGCTATTATGGTGAGCCCTTGGGAGCAGAGGGCCACCAGGCTGCCTAAGAATGGGCCAACCAGCCCGGTCAGTCCAGAGCAGGCTAAGGCACTTATGCCAACCAGAATTTTGAGCAGGCCTATGAGTGATTATTTCTCCTCTAGTCTGGACAAGACCTAGTTTCAAAAAACCAAAACAAAACCAAAAATATCTCTACAACAAACCATCAAAATCAAGTTGCTTTAAATGTAGTTGAGCAATGCAACTGGTCTCTGTTAAGTAATAGAATTAGAGTAATCTGTTGAAAATATTTCACATAAATAAGTGAATGATTGAGATTACCTTACTTTCCTAGAGGTTTTTATTATTATATTATTACATTATGTTATATCACATCATATCATATCATAGTATGTCATGTCATGTTATATTACATCATATCATATCATATTGTATAATATTATAATAAGCAAATGCTTGTTCCCCAAAATTAATCCTGAATAGGAGACTTTCAGAAATAGTAGAAAGAAGTAGGGGGAAAACTTGGCCAGGGAAGAAGAGAGTTTTGCCCAGTAAGCCACCTCATGCCTGGCTGTCTGCCCCTTGGATCAGTTCTTTTAAGCGCCTTTGGTTTTGCATGGTTTCTTTGCTTCTTCTGCTTTTGATCCACACATTCTCTGCAAACTTTGAGTTTTTTTCCAGTTGTTTTCATTTGTTGCAGTCACATCAGAGAGCTTTTGGTATCAGGGATGGGCTCAGGGTCTTTGTCCCTCAGGTGAGGACAACCTGCCTATCTGCACACAGTGACTTGGAAAGAGTTTGCAGCTCGGAATAGAATTGTTTTTCTAACCAAAATACTATAAAACCAGAAGCAACCAGACCGAGGAGACAAAATTCATTCATCTCCAACAAGCAAATAAGATAAATGATCTTTTGTTTTGTTTTTGAAACTGGTCTGCCTAACACAGTGATTTTATTGAATACAACTGACAATGTTTGTATTGCTCATTTGCACTTGAAATCTTACTTTCTTATAAAAATAGGATGGGAGGAGGGTGCAGCTAGGTGGTGCAGTAGATAGAGCACCTGCCCTGCAGTCAGGAGGACCTGAGTTCAAATCCATTATCAAACACTTACTAGCTATGTAACCCTGGGGTAAGTAATTTAACCCTGATTGCTCCCCAAAAGAGAAAAAAATAGTATTTTTCATTAACTTAATATAATTTGTGATGGTATTTCCTCCTTTGTACTTACTTCAAGTTCTCATATATCTCAGAAAAATCTCATTTGGTTCTAATGTTGCTGTTTGGCCATTCATGCGCTAAGAGCTTCAAACAAATCAGTATGGGTCCATAAGCTCGAGACCCAGGGGGAAGAAACTAGGCTAGACTTCAAAGAATTCAGATTGGAATAATGTGGAAATGATTTTTTAAAAATTAATTTTTCCAGATAGTTCTGAATCTTCTTACCACGATGGTTCCCCTGCTCTGAAATTGCTCTGGTTTTTCTGTTTTCAGTGCAGTGCCAAGAGCTAAACACAATATTCCAAATGTGGTAGGATCATGGAAGAAGATAGTGCTGCTATGTCCTATCCCTATACTTTCAATAATGCAAACTAATTTCACATCATTTATTTTGGTTGCCACGTCGTATGTTTGACTCATACTGTGGTTTTCAGCTAACAAAAGACCATAAAGTTTTTTTTAACACATTCAATAATTATCCTCTCCTCACCACCAACACACATAAAGAGATGCACACTTGTACATGTGTGATTAATTTTTCTTCAACTCAAGTGTAAGACATTATGCTCATTGCTATTAAATTTGAAGATCAGTATCAAGGGTATTCTGGAACCAGCTCAAACCAGGCAATTGTTAAATTTCCAGTGTGGACATTTATACCTTGGAAATGGGCATATTACAAATTAGTGCTTGCCTTATTGTTTTGCTGATTGACTAGACTTAAGAAAGTGATGAGAAGAGGTTAGAGATACAGCTCAAACTTAAAAGTATGTTGTATATACATTTTTTTTGAGGAGTTGATTGTTAAAGATTTGTCAGCACACCCCTGCTCTATCTTCTTCTATCTGTTTCTCCTTTCTTTCAGTCACTGGAACTAGACATAGCAAATGAGCCAACAGCATGTGTGAGAGTCCAGGAAAGAAAAGTTGTTTTTATGTCTGGTGTGAAATGAAAAGTCATCACATACCTGGAATTTATTGCTAAGATCATAGTCTGATGACCCAGCAGTTTACAGAAAGTATCCCACATGTCTTTATTCACATTTTCCTGCAAGTTGCAGAAAAAATCAAATTAATTAACTGCATTGGTTATCACACAAAGAACAGCTATTTTTCCTTTCTTAGAGACTGTTGAGAGAGCATCCTTACTGTAGGTTGACTAGAGACAAGTCATCTAACCTCTCTGAGACAGTTTGTTGATCTGTAAAATGGGAATCATAATAACATTTGTGGTATGGATGTCATAGGGTTATTGTGAAGCCCCATATGAGTTAATAGGTATAAAACACTTTGTAGTTATATAAAATCTCAGTTATTATTTTTGTTGTTAAAATAATTGATGCTATATACCATTTTAAGGTTTGCAAGACATTTCCTTCAAAATAACCTTAGAAGATAGGTAGTGTGGTATTGAATAGCTAGTCCAGTATGGCATACTGGGTAGTACTGGACTTAGAGTCATCAAGGACTGAGTTCAAGCCTTGTCTATGATGCTTAATACCTGTGTGGCTCGATAAATTGCTTTACTTGTGGCAGTCTCAGTAAAATTGGTACAATCATAATTGTAATATCGTCCAATATTCCAGGATTGTGGGAAGGCTGAAATAAGATGCAAACTTTAAAGTACAATGTGGCTTTAAGTTATAATCCCTGCCCTTCCCCCCATTTTACAAATGAGAAAATCAAGGATCAGGATCACATAACAATGAATGATCTACAGCTGGATTTTGGACCCAGGTTTTCCTGACTCCTGGAAAAAGAACTCTATTCAATATGAAAGGAAACTTGAATGTAAAACAAAGTAAAATTCCAGCCAGGATGACAAAAACTTTCCAGCTAAAAAATTATAGGGTGGCATAGTTAATAGGCATTTTTAAAGCCACTGGGATCCTAGGTGCCAGAGGACCCAAAAATGAAGTATGAGATGCCATCTCTCCTTCTAGGAATTTAAAATCTTGTTGAGGAGGCAGGATCTGCACAGATGAAATAGAGAACATTACTATTCAGCGAATATCAAGAGTTAAATTGTGTAGTTTTTGGATCAAGAGGGATGGGAGGGTGCAGTATTTTCTAGGCAATAAAATCTGTTGCTTTCAATTCACTCTGATACAATAAACATTCATTATGAAACTACTGTATACAATTAGTTCACAAATGTTTATTAAACACCTACTATGCCAGACACTATATAAAGATCTGGAGATACAAAACCAAAAATGAGACAGCCCCCAATCCTCAAGGAACTTATGTTCTATGGGGTGTACAGAGGAAGAAGAAAATATATATATGTGTATATATATATGTGTATATATATATATATATATATATATATATATATATAAATTCTTTATATCACTTAATAACTCCTTACAATGCAAACAGAAAGTCATGTGGTGAAACTTTAAAGATGTACTGGCAGAAATTATTTCGTATGTCTTCTGTATTAGCCAAGGAGCCTTGGGCTCTAACAGGAAAAGGTGAGGTAGAATGCCATCCCAAAACTTGCAGACTGAAGTCTGGGTTGGGTATTTCTTACCTAAACATTTTCCTCTAGTTCTCCTTATTCTTCTTACTTTTTGGGGTGAATGTGGGCTAGTGGTGGTCAAGCTCATTGTCAAGGATGAAAGAGGAGGCTCAGTAATTGCATTGGAGAGAGAAAAGACTTGGAAGTCATATAGAACCAAAGGATCTTTGTTTTTCTCATGTGTTTCTATCTCTCAGTTTATGTCTATGTCTACATCTCCATCTCCATCTCCATCTCCATCTCCATCTATCTATGCACATGAAGAAGACATTAAACAGTGATTATGGGAATCATGTTCTAAGACAAGAACAAATTCTATTCTACCATATATTTTCCAAACAATTCCTGACAAAGCACTATTCCACAAAATTTTACTCACCACATGACGCCATTTCACACTGGCCTTCAAGGACTGGAGATCGCTATCTAAGGAAGAAAGAGACAAAACTTGGTTAAAGTGGGAAGACTTTGGATCATTGAGAAAAATATAAGCTTTTCACAAAGTTAGAGTAAATCTCATTCTGAAAGTTCTGTTAAGTTCTCTGTATTAGTCATGACTTTTTTTCCCCAAAGTAATGTTTGGTAGAAAGAGGGAAAGTCCATCTAATAGAAAGTAGCTTTTATTTGAGCCAATTTTCTGAATATAGAGGCTTTTTTTGGGAGATTTGGGTAAATTATTTTTATCTTAAGGGTTTGTATTATAAGTATCATCTAATCTGGTTAGCTCTAGAATGCTTTTTAGGAAGAGAGGGGGTTTTTCCTCTTCTTTAAGAATAGAAAACCCCTCCTTTTTGACTGGGGTGGGGACGGGGGAAACAGTTTAGGTTTTTGCACTATTTGCACTGTCAAGATACTCCAACGTGATTATAATTTCTTTCGGCTTTTGACAAATTTTGGAAAAGAAGCAAGAGAAAACTAGGGAAGGTAGAATAGTAAAAAAGACTTTTCTTTGATTAGCTATGAGCAGTCAGAGGTAGACACTATTATAGTGTACTCCTCATTCAACCCCCATATTTGCCAGATCTTGACACTTCTACCTCCACAATCCCTTGCATCCATCCCTTTCTCTCCATTCACATGGTCACCATCCTAGTTCAGGTCATTATCATTTCTCACCTCAGCTATTGAAATCATCTTTTAGTTGCTTTCCTTGCCTCAAGTCTCTCCCAACTCTACTCCATCATAAATAAAATTGCCAACATTATTTTCCTAAAATACAATTTATCCTTCCCTTCTCAATAAGCTCTAGTTTACCTCCTACTATTTCTAGAATCTAATATGAACTCTTCTTGACATGTAAAGCCCTTCACAACCTGGCCCCAACCTACCCTTTGGGCCCTATTATGCAATATTCCTTTTCTCACACCCTTTACTGATCAGTCTAACTGGCTTTCTTACTCTTCTTCATGCAGGAAGGGCACTTCATTTCCCATCTCCAAGACTTTGTACTAGCTGATTCTCATGTCTGGCATGAGGTCTCTCATCACCTCTACTTCTTGACTATCTAACCACATTTAAGATTCAATTGAAATGCCTCCTTTGCAAAAGGCCCTCTCTAATTCCCCTAACTCCAAGTGGCCCATTGAAATCACCTTGGATTCAACATACACATACACATACACACACACACATACATATATGTATGTATGCATATATGTTCATACATTGGAGATGGCTATTGTTTCATGGCTATCTTTTGTGTCCCTAGCATCTAGCATAGTGCCTGAGCCATAGAAGATACTTAACAAATGCTTACTAATTAGTTAACTAAGGAAGTCGCTGTCAGATGAAGAAATACACCTTGATGGCAATTATTTCATCATAAGCTTATTTGAAACCTCAAAGCTCAAGAGCTATGAATTCATGCACAGGAAGAACTTTCAAAGTTAAGAAAAAGAAGGCAAAAAATAAGCATTTATTAAGTATCTACTATGCCAGGCACTGTGTTAAGCACTTTACAAATATATCCTTACAACAACCCTGAGAAATAGGGGATGTTATTATCCCCATTTTACATGGGGATAATATGGTATAATATAGAATGTAGAGAGAGAAGAGTAAAACCCCCATTTTACATTTGAGGAAACTGAGGCAAACAGAGGTTAAGTGACTTTCCCAGGGTCACAAAGCTAGTAAGTGTCTGAAGCTGGATTTGAGCTCAGGTCTTCCTGGTTCCCAGCTCATTGCTTTATCCACCTTTATCTTTATCACCTACCAGCATTAAAAAGATAAATGGAGTGAAACACAAAGGGATATTCTATAAAGTCTCAGAATTCAACTAGATTGAAATGTGGTAATTGGATAAGTAGCTATCATAAAGGTATGGAATTATACCCTTTGTTTTTAAAGGTTTGATTTTATTTTAAAATTTTGTGTTTGGCAATGTTTTATAAGGTTCAGGCATATTTTTAAGATAACAAGCTGTCTATTAATTGTTTGTTTAAAGTATCCATTTTTGTGGGAGAAAAAAAGACAATATTTTAATCTTGAGTGAATCATGTTTATAGAAAAACCTAGTCCTTTGATCCTAACTGAGAGATGATTCCGTCTTGGTGGTTTTTGTTCATTTGTTTCAGTCATGTCCAACTCTTTGTGATGCTATTTGGGGTTTTCTTCACAAAAATACTGGAGTGGTTTGCCATTCCTTTCTCCAGCTCATTTTACAAATGAGAAAACGGAGGCAAAGAAGATTAAAAGTGAGTTGCTTAGGATCATGCAGCTAGTAAGTGATCTGAGGGCAGATCTGAACTCAAGATGAGTGTTTCTGACTCTAGGACCAGCGCTCTTTCCACTAGAGCCCACCTGGCTGCCCTTTTGATGGTACTGCATTCTAATTTCAAGTTGGATGGTTTTGAGTTCAACCCTTTATACTGTCAACTGAAGAGTCTTTTTTCTTGTTTGATTAGACCTGCGATTTCATCAGTAGTAAGTTCCTCTACAAGTATAGATGACATTACATAATTCTATTAATTTGTAGTCTTTAGAAAGTATTCTGGAGCATCAAGAGGTTAGGTATTCACATTCATCTAGCCAATATGGGTCATGGGTCAGAGGCAGGAAGGAATTAAAGTCAGGTCAATTTTTTATATACTATGCTACACGGCTTCTCAAAATTTATAGTCATAACAATGGATATTTAAGGGTTGGATAGCGTCCTTGATCTACAGTTAGGTAGACCTGAGTTCAAATCCAGCCTGTGCAAATCGCTTAACCTCTGTCTGGCCCAGATTTGTCACCCGTAAAATAATAATAGCAGCTGCCTCCCAGAGTTGCTGTGAGGATTAAATGTGATTATTGCAACACGCTTGGTAAACCTTAAAGGGCTATATAAATGCTAGGTATTAATAGTATTTTCTTTTTTAGTTCATTATTCAAAATGTAGTGATTCAATTAAGAAAAAGAATCTGTCATTTGGGAAAGATGACACCAGGTGGCACTGATGAGAACTAGATGACACTAGTTAGCTTCTCATTGCCACATGGTCTATGTAAAAATTTACAAACCTAACTGTGTTTTATTAAGGTGAAATATGAGTATGCCTTTTCCACTTCTTTTTTTTTTCCACAAAGGTACTTACTTTTCTCCAAATATCCTGGTGGATTAAAAATAGGGAAATAGGGAATCATTCAGAACTACACTCTCAGACAAGAGCTATCAGTCATCAATTATAGCAACTCCTCCTAATCTGAGAGAGATCAGATGCCTGGCTCCCTGATCCTCCCCCCACCCCTCACCCCTGCCCCAACTCCCATACCTGCTAATGAATTAAAATAAGCAAATCTCCAACCAGGAACTCCTAGTCTTTCTAGAATTACAGAGGTTAGAGGCTGCTTCTCAGATTCCACCCCAAACCCAAATGGGTAGACTCTAAGGACTCCTATCACTGTGAGCAGAAATGTAATTAGTTCACCCAAGATTCCTTGTTGTGCCTCCCACTATCATCTCTCAAAAATAACTCAAGCCACTAGGTCACATTACCAATGGAAGGGCCTTTGGTTCTTGTAGACTTTTTGAGTGGAAGCAGGAGCTGATGATAACTCATTCCTGCTGTGTGCCTATAGGTGCTTTCCTTCCCCCATCCCGCTCCTGAATTTCTACATTTCTCTTGTCCTATATGTCTCTTAATCCCCTCTACTATATAATCTTATGTGAAGGAATGTGGCCTTTGGCAATTGCATGGTATTTTTTTCTACTTTCTGCACATCTTTCCATGGGAATTAGTGACTGTCTTCAGGACCCATTGGCTTGTTATTTTTATCCTATATCAAACACCCATGCATTTGCTGGGGGGGGGCATGCATGACTGAGATATACGACACTATAAAGTATTAAGATAACAACTTTAGACAGCAGGTCAGATAATTCTTTGAGGAAAAAAAGTCTGTACCTATGTGTATACATTTTTATTTTTAAAGAAATAAATACCTACATACTTTACAAATACCTACATTATAATTCTTAGCCCTTCCCAGAAGTTTCATCTTAAACTTTGGATTTGTTTAGCATCATTCTGGCTATAAATGTTCTATATTTCAACTCAAAACCCAAGAGAAGAACTCAGCTGGTGGGGAGGGAAGAATAAAAGAAGGAGGGAGAGGTACTTACTACCAGATCAGGACCCCCATATACAAAGCTAAGAATTGAAGGAATCTAAGAAACCCAAGAGTGCTGCCTTTTTAAAAAAATTTTATAGAAATATTTACTTCAAAAAGTACAATCACAAACATACAAACTTCCTCTCCCAACACATGGGAGTCATAATCCTCCAGCATTGTCGAAGTGAGTTTACATTAGCTAGAAACTTAAGAGTCTGACCTAGTACTAAGCCAGGCATGAAAGGACAGGATAAGATAGAGAATTTAGCAAGCATGTTTAATGCCTACTATGGGCAACTCTCTGAACTAGGCACCAGGGATATAAATATAGATACAATGCAATCTGTGCCTTTAAGGAATTTACACTCTACTAAGTAAAGTAAGGACAGGTGAAGAACACGTACATAGATAACTGTGATGAAAGGAGAAATGTTATGGATAGAAAGGAGAGGACCTAGAAAAAAATGCAACAGAAATTTTAGGATTGAGATCACCTCAGCTGATGAATTGGGGTAGAGAAATGAGGGAGAATAGAATGAAGGAAGACTTCAAAGGATTCAGATAGATGAAGGAGTAAATAGCAAAGCAAGGCTTGGTTTTCTACCTATAAAGAACATAGGAATACAGTAAAACGTAAATATTGCTCCAGCTTTTCTTTTTGTCTCCTTTTTAACCTTTATGTTTTTTCTCTAATGGTTAGTAGTAAGATACCTAAAAACAGGGTTGTGATATTTTTAGGGAAAAGGAAATAAGATGTGCCTTCTTTGCTTAGAGTGAAGTGGAAGCCTAGCGGTAAGAGGAGATGGTAGAAAGAAGCCAGATATGGGGGTACCAAAGAGCCAAGTCCTGAGACCTGCTAGGAGAAAAGGATGGAGTAATAGATCGTAAAAGGCTCATGATGCTACTACCACAGATTTGGGTGATTTACCACGATGGAATATGTCGGGCAGCTGAAGGTTAACGTGAAGGCACTGGACACACTGGGTGCAGGAGAACAAGCAGGGTAACAGTGGACAGGAACCAAACCGTGAGGGTTCCAAAGACCAATTTAAACTTTTCTACAGTTTAGACAAGGGTCCTGCTGGTTGTTAAGTCCAACAATTTTTCTGGGTCCACTGTGAGGCAGATTGCTGTGTTTTCATTCCCTATGGTACTATGGATATAGCATCAGAGGGTAATGTGTTCATTTCCACCTTCCATTCATCCTGGGTAATCTTGGAGAAGTCACTTTCTTTAGACTTCAGTTTCCTCATCTATAAATTAAGGGCAGGTACTATTTCTTATTGTTGTCAACATATCTACAACTCTTATTACAGGGCATTTTATATACTAAATGCTCAATAGATTACTGTTCAGTTAAATCAATTAGATAAACTACAGATTTCTCCTAGTCCTACAAACTTTGATCTTACAGTATGACTCCTTCCCAAAAGCTTTCCTTTCATGAGGACAAAAGACTGAGGGGTGAAGAAGTCAGTGAGGTCCCTGAAGAAGAGTGGGGCCATTATTATCTGGGAAAAGAGATTAGCAATGTATGACATAGTGAGAAAGATGTCACTTACTGTTGTCCGTCATTCCTAGGGCAATGATGAGTTAGGAGCAAGTCAATGTCTTTTCCTTGCAACAGACCTCTCTGAACCTTGAATCAATCAAAACAACACCCCCAAAGCTGTTGTCAGTTGTCATGGCAACCACCTGCCCCAAGGATTCCATTCTGAAAGGCTTATAACTGATCTCCCATCATACTGATCAATGCAGGGATGACGTGGGTAGCCTACCTGATGCTCAACTGTCATTGACCCCTGCAGCCAGGGATCCTGGCTCTTAGACCTTTCAGTGAATCTTCAACATAGGAAGTTATGTTCAGAGTTTAATCATTATCATTGTTGTTGAGGACTTTTTAAAATTTTGTCCTTTCTTTGTAATCTTTGGACAGAGGAAGAGATAGATAGATGACAAAAAAAAGACAACAACAAATCTTATTTCTAGCATTCCAATAACATGTGTGTGTGTGTGCCTGCTCTAAGCAGTACAATAGTTTTTTTGTATGAGATGGTTAAAAGGTCAAAGATAAGAGGTATTTATTTTTTCCCTTTGTCTATGAAGTTGCTCTTTTGTTTGTCTTTTGCTTTTGTTTTGTTTTGTTTTTAAAAATTGGGGGGGGCTGTTTGATGTATGTCTGAAACATGTCCAACAACCAGAATTTTTTTTGCTGAGTTGTTTTAAAAAAATAAAGGATAGCTGTGTAATATATATGGTTCGTTAGAGCAAGGTAGTATTTAAAGGGTGATTTTAACTCAAAATCCCAGATTCTAGTTTTGTTTTCTTTTCAAACAAATTAACAAACAAAAGCATCTCCTCAAATCCAACAAATTGAAGTTATATGTGACCCATTATCTTCCTTATATTGTATTGGTTCCCTCTGCTTCTTCAGAGGAGGGGTCAAATCTCTCCCTCATCCTCCACCCTCAAACAACAGCCACTTAGTTATATCTGAATATTCATTCCTTAACAGAAAGGAAATGATGCACTTCTCTCCCAAAGTGCTTCACAACCACAACACATCAGCAGAGCAAGAAGAGCAAATATTCTCCCCATTTTGTAAATGAGGGCTAACCTGAAACCAAAACATGTGAAGTCACTTGCTTAAATTGATTTCATTTTGAAAAAAAAATCCGAATTCTCTCATTTTTGTTAAGGTACACACATTTTGAGCTGGAGAAAGCCTACTTTAAATCAGACCCCAGATTTCTTTGCATTGCTACACAGAGTCACTAGATGTCACTAGAAATAAACTTTCTAAATAGGTTACTAAAATCAACACTGATACTTAAAAAACTGAAAGAGAAGCTCAAGCATGAAACCCACTATGGTTCAAACATAAAGAGTGGGCTCTGGATCAAAACTACTCAAAGAAACCTTTGTTCAGCCCTGTCCCACCCAATGAGAGAATAAATATGTAGCTCTTTTGAACAAAGCATATTATAAATGTCAGTTATGACTACTGTCGCATTCTTCTCATCTTATATTTGATAGAGTTCAGATAAAAAGAATCCTGTGATGTCACTATCCTGCTATTGTTAGCAAGTTTGAAAGGAAAGAAGGAAAGAGCTCAGGAGTCAAAGGAGCTAAATTTAAATTTTACCTCTAATTCTGATGACCTGTGAGGCCTTGGGCAAATCAAAACTACCCTAGGCCTCCACTTTTAAAATGTGCTACGGTTATTATTCTTTTTTCACTGGACTGTTGCACAGGCAGATAACATTATTGCTTTTTTTTTTGTGATTGAATAAAAGTATCAGGATTTGATACTTGTCAGGCTCATTGGAAGTATCTTTGGGACAATTCTAGTAGCAGACAGGATGTTGGGAATGTATACTCTTTGTCCAGTTGCCACATGGTTTTGATTTCTTCTGCTATTGTCTCTATAGTTTATAGTTTAGAGATGAGGAGTATTCAGCATGACAACAGCCATTAGAATTTTTTAATTCAATTTTTTATGTCATTGTTACACCTGGGTGATTATGGGCAACAGTATTGTCTTTGATAATGCTCCAGTTCCAAGACAGCTTATTTGTTGAATTCTCTAGGATACTTTGAGGTCTGGGATACTGGTTGTTTGGAGACTTGTAATTTGTTAATTGGTGAGGAGAGTGAACATCTAGAACATAGATAGAGGGGAAAAAAAGGATTCATTAAGTACTTACCACATTCCAGAAATGGTGCTGAGAGCTGGGGACTCAAATACATGCAGGCAAGATGGTCCTTACCCTCAAGGAGCTTACATTCTAATGGGAGAAGACAATGCATAAAAAAGAGCTAGAAAGAGGGGATAGAAGGGAGAGGGACATGGTGTGGGTATGGCTGGGAAGTGCTGTGAAGGCCTGGTTCCCAGAAAGGTAAGGTAAAATCTCATCTATCAGAACCAGGGAGTTCTAGGAATAGAGTTCAAGGTTGCATTTGAGGGAAATAAGAATGAAGACTTTAAATTTACCCCAGTTACTCTCAGTGGATGTTGACTCTTCCAAAGGACCTTTTTCCATGTTCTCTTTCCTTTCTTAGGCTCAAAGGCAGGAAGTTTAAGGATATCCACAATATAGGTTAAAGTGGAGTGATTCTGATGTTTTTACACCCCTACCTGATGTCATAGAATAATAGATTTCAAGAAAGAAAGGATCAACAAAGCCAGAAGGGCCAGGTCCTCCTCCTCCTCTTCCTCCTCTTCCTTCTTCTTCTTTTTTTTTGATGAGAAAATACAGGCAAAGAGAGATTAAAGAACTTGCTCATAGCTACATCTCTAGTAAGTGAATGAGCTAGAATTTGAACTCAGATCTTTCTGACTCCAAGTCCAATACACTGTCTACTATGCAACTTTGCCATTCAAGTCCTAGAGAAGATAGATCAACGAAACCAAGAGACTCAGCCTTTGCCTGTCCTATCAAGCATGGAAAGCCAAGCATGAAGGCAAGTGTTAGGTAAATATTTCTGATAAAATAAAGCTGCTAAAACAATAGACATTTGTTTTTATGTTCTCTTCCTTGGGGTTGGTGGGAGTTGTGGGAGGAGAAGTTGGGGATGTCTCTTGGGGCCAACAGTCCATAAATACACTTATATTCCATGACATTATATGTCAAAGTAAATATCAGGAAGTATTCTAAGAAGGCTTAAGACCCTCTTGGGACAATGGAACAATTGACTAGTGGAAAAGTCTGTAGTACAACCCAGAAGACCCACATCAAGTTTTCAGTGGCTTTGAATGGTAAAATGGAATACCAAAGGATTGTTGGTCACTGTTTCTAAAAGCTTCCAGCCTTACTCCCCCTACTATTCTCCCCACCCCCATTCTACACCCAATTTCAGAAGTGTACTGAGAACACACAGGAACTTCCATATGCAAAGAACATTTAAACATCAGGATCTAGTGTAGTCATTGCAATGAGGAACTGAATCTATGGCATTGCATCCTAAGGTCATGGTGAGATTTCTGGAGCCTGGGCCAGGTGAATGTAAACCTGGGCTCAAGCATAAGACTTTTCTTATTGGTGGAGAAGTGGTTATTCAACGCTTTGTGCCTGTAGGAGGGGTGTATTGATGAAAGCTTGGGAGAGGAGAGATCCTATGGTCTTCTGCAAATGGGCTTGAGCCTTGGTTTGACGTATAATGACTCAGCTTCCTGTGGATGAAGTGTGTATAGGGTTCATTCCATTTTTGACTTATAGAATTTTAGAGGTGGAAGGTATATTAGAAGATACCAATTCCATCTGTATGTGGGCTGGCATAACTTACAGCATCACTGACTAATTGCCATCCAACCGCCACCTGAATCCCTCCAGTGAAGGGGAAACCATTATCTTCAGAGGCAGCACATTCTACTTAGGGACATCTCTAGTAGGTTTTTCCCCCTCATATTAGGCCAAACTTTAATTCTCTCAACTTTCAACTATTGCTCCTAGTTCTACTTTCTGGAGCCAAGCAACTAAGCAGAATATTTCATTATAGTCCTTTATGTAACATGGTCTGGCTTCTTTTTTGGTCACCAGAAGAAAGCACCTTCCATAGCTTCCCAAGTGGCCAAGGTACAAGGGAAAGAGAGAGGAAAAGTTTTGAAGAGGATGGGATGGGATGGGATAGGTTAGGATGGGATGGAATGAGATGGGTTGCGATGCAGAGCAAATGGAACTGATATTAAGGCTGCTTATTATAAGAGATCAAGGGAGTAACATACCCATAGATAATTTGTATGGTACAACACTCTATTTTATTTAGTCAGTTAGCCATAAATATTTATTAAGTACTCACTATGAGTTAGGCACTGTGCAAAGTGATTAAGATAAAAAGAAAGGCAAAAGAGAGTCCCTGCCTCAGGGAGCTCACAGTCTAATGCAGAAGGAGATGTGAAATCAACTAAGCACAAACAAGCTAGACGCACGATAAATTCCAGATAATCTCAGACGGAAGCCACCAAAAGTAAGGAGAATAAGTAAGTCCTTTTTTGTGGAAGGTGGGATTTTAGCAGGTACATAAAGGGAGCCAGGGAATTCAGGAGGTAGAGATGAGGAAGGAAAGAATTCTGAGCATGTAAGACAGCCAGTGAATATGCACAGTGTTGGGAGGTGAGTGTCTTGTGTGAGAAACACCAGAGATCCATGTCACTGGATCACGGGATTTGTCTTGTTCTACTCAGCCCCAGGAGGAAAACTTAGGAGTAATATACGGAAGTTACAAAGAGATGATTTTGAGGGTCAATGTAAGACAAAATTTCCAAATAAACTATTCCCCAAATGGAATCAACTCCTTTAGGATCTGGTGAGCTGCCTGTCACTATTAGTCTCTAAGAAAAAGTAGATGGCCACTAGTTGGGAGTGGCAGATTTTGGCTAAATATAAAGGAGAATTTTCTGACAATAAAAACTGTTTGACAATGACTAACCTGCTGAGTGAGCAGGCTCCCTATCTCTAGAAGAATCCAAGCAGAACCAAGATGACTCCCTATTAATGTGTTAGGCACCCATGATCTTTGGCTACAGGCATATACATGCCCTTGGGATGACAGGGTTCTCACTGTCTTCTCCCCCTAAGTACCCAAGCAGAGATTCATGAGACCTCAGGGACAACCAGAGAGGATGTAAGCACAGCTTCCTGCCATGCTCATAAGGCTCCTGTTATACTCCAGCCTCATAAACAGCCTCTGTGTGTATCTCAGAATTGTTACAGCCACCTTTGCTTGTCCACATGTACCCCAACCTGGTTCATTCCAGCTGCTTCCTTTAAATACCCTGAATATTGTAGCCTGCAGTGGAAGAGCCAATGATGCATCCAGCCAGTCTTGCCCAAGACTTTGTCAGGCACCACTGAGCAGTGGGACAGGAGTTATCACAGACCACTGTGCAATGCCTGCTATACTCTCTCCTGCTTCCTAGTCCTTAAGACCATCTTCCTCTCCACCCTACTGACATCAGGATGTCGAAAAGGTAATTCAAGAAATTAGAGAGGAATTAGATTAAATTCCTTGCAACTCTTAAGAGTCTATGAGTATTATACTGAATGTGTTCATAGTACCCCTGTAAAGCTGATATCATGCAATAAAGCAGCCATAAACTTGTGCATGAATTGCTAACTTTGTCTCCACATCTGGGCAAAGATGAGCAGAAGGGCCACCTTAACAGTGTAGATTCTAAAGATGTGGGCCTAGGTTGTAAAGCCAAAGGTGTTTATATTTGATCCTAGAAACTTTACGGGGCCATTAGTGCTGACTGATTGGAGGAATAACATGGCCATACCTGAACTTTATGAAAATTTCTTTGGCATCTGTTTGTAAGATATATTGGATTGGGGAGAGACTTGAGGCAGGGAGGCTAATAGTTCACTTTTAAGGAATATCCGAGCAAAAAAGTCATTTTGACTGCTATGAATACACAAATTAACTACAAAGCACAGATAAAGAAAGACACTTTCTGCATCCAGAGAAAGAACTGATAAATAGAAGTATGTATTTGTACATATTTTTTGCCTAATGGGAGCCATCTCTAAGGCAAGGAAGAAAGAAAAAAGTGAAAAAAGAAATTTACATGATAGATTTATATATTTAAAGGGAATAACAAATTGTACATAATAGATTTGTAGTTTCATGAGCAATCATTTCTGATTATACTTTTATGAAAATACTTGTTTTATTCCATAAATTAAAAATAAAAGAATATGAAAAAAAATTAAAAGGAATATCTGGATTCAAATCCTGCCTGTATGACTATGGACAGGTGATATAGGCTTTAAGGGCTACCAGACAAGCAAGAAGTTAAAGTTGCTGACAAGTCAACAATTTGGATTGGTGGGGAGAGTTTCCATATTGGGATCTCCCTACAGTGAAGAAATAAATTGTTTGGCGCAAACAAAAACAAAACAAAATTTAATGTGTCCACTGAATGCAGAGAATTGCATTAGATGGTGGAAGACATTTAAAGCTTAGGTGAGAAAGTAATCATTATAGTCTAGTGGGCAGGGAGGGGCAAAAAACAAATAATATTACATAGGGGCTATGTAAGATCAGAGGGAGAAAGTCATTTCCAGGGGAATATATGTATAAGGGAATATAAGGGAAGACTTTCCTAGAGGAGTTAATGTTTAAGATGGCTTTAGAGGGTGGATAGTGATGGGAGGAAGAGTATCTTAGGTGTGAGGGTGAGTAAAGACAAGAAAGCATAAAAATGCAGAATGTATTCAGGAATCAGGTGCTCACTTGGGCTAGGATGTAGAGTTCCTGAAGGACAATAGTATGAGATAAGATGGGAAAGAGATGGTGGCACCAGGTCATAGAACGTCATAAATACCAGGCAGATGAGTGTGTACTTGATTAGGGAAACAACAGAGAGTCCCCAGAGATTCTTGAATGAAGGAGTGGTATGGTATAATCTTTGGATAAAAAAAGAATATGCTGTCAGTGGAATATTTGAAGGGTGAATCGGAGAGGAAAGAGAATGGAGAGGAAAGGATACTTTGTAGCCTGTTTATATAGCTACTATAGTCCATGAAAATGGTAATGAGAACCTGTACTAGGATGTTAAGTGGGAATAGAGAGAAGAGGATGGACTTGAGAGAGAATTACGAAGTAAATATAAATTAATACAAAGTAATTTCAGGGAGGAAAGAGACCTAACAATTGGGGAGAGAGAGGATGAGGGGTACTGAACTGGACTATGACTTTAAGGGAACTACCTTTGACAGGTAGAGGTGAGGATGGATACGGGGGA